GTCAAAATATATTTCTCTTGAACTAAGCAGGTTTGTAATCTGTGTAAAGATGTGTGTTTTGCATTAACTCATGATTCATTATGTTCCACCATTTTGGATTTCATAGAATAAAAATATTGTTATTGGCAGGTTTCAAACCTACACTGTTATGCTGACCGTCGGTCGGCGTGTGCGAACTAGGATAGGTCTTCTCAGCGACGACTCGAGTGAGTCTACTGAAGCTGAGCGTGGTTCTAGGCTTGACGGAACATCAAGAGTTCCTCCGGCAATCTCGGTAAGATGGCGCTCGTCGAGATGCAGGGCTAGCGGATACGTGCTAAGTCGTAAGGGGGCAACTTAGAAGTGCGGTCTCACACAAGGAAGCTGGTAAGGCTTAGATGAGCAAGTTCTGGGGATGAACCTAGTAGATTAAAGTAAAGTCTAAGTACAATAATCCTGTCTACTTATAGGGAAGTACTACAAGTATTCTAGCTCAGTCTGTAATCAATAGTATATCTATGATCTATGATAACAAGACATGAGGTTCAGATAAGTACATGAGGCTTAACCTCTGATCAAGCATGCTGCGCCAAGGGCAGCTGCGCATAGGTACAGGAAGCGCCAAGAGCGCTCCGGATCTTCGTGAAGCGACATGCGGCATGCATGCACTTTGATCTAGGGTGACCATGAGGCGTACAGCCTCCATGGATCAGGTACAAGGCCGTCTAGGCCAGGGGCGGGTCATAGCGCCAGGGGCGGGGTCACAGCGGTCCAGACCGCTATCTTTCTAGGCACGGGCGGCGCACTGCCGCGTGGGGAGTCTAGCAGAGCGGGGGCAGGCGTAGGCAGAGCTGGGGCTTCTGTAGGTGTTACGGATGCCTGTAACATACACAGTTGAAGACAAACAGATTTTGAATCTGGTGACAACTTGACCAAGACCAATGAAGATCAATGCATGAGATGCTGTCTATAAGCAGATATTCGAGACACACATTCTTAGAGAAAAAATGCAACATTCAACAAGTTTCAAACTTGTTGTACTTTGATGGAAACAGATTTTGATTCTGTTATGACAGCCACTTAGCTAAATACAACTATGATCAGCTTGCAAGCAAACCAACCATGAGCAAATTTCAAGGTGTGTTTTCATAGAAAATGAATTTCATTGCTGGCAGGTTTCAAACCTGCACATTCCAAGAGAAACAGATTTTGACTCTAATGATCACTTGGCAAATTCATCTTGAGCAGGTTTTGAACCCACACAGACAGATTTAGATTCTGTTGTATCAACTATTTGGCTAAGACCAGTTGGATGCGCTGCCAATAAATTCATTCAGAAGTGAATCCTCAAGGCACATTTATCTGTATCTTATCAGTTCTTTCAATAGCATGATCGCCATTAATGGTGATTTTAAACTTGATTAATATCACTGTTGGATTTATGCACAAATAAGAAACTTTTTTTACTAAAAACTTACTAGAGGCAAATGCAAGTATTCTTGATGCAAACTTGGAAGGATGAGTACAATAACAATAACAATTTAATTCTTTCCAAAGGTCTCAACTTATACATCAAACTTTCAAGTTTGATCCCAATGACCTGGGGAAAGGCTGAGATTCTAGTCAAAATGGATGGAGACCATATCATAAGAGCATCAATTTACTGGATGCTGAACGCTGATATTTGTGTAATAACATGAGAAGCCTCTAAATCTGAATCTAAATGTGTGTGGCTGAACCAACAATTACTTTAAGGTAATCAATGCTCGATCATTGTTTTATCAGTGATCTGATGTTACTGATTTAGATCTAATGATCTTCCCCACTGCATGCTCACCACCCAAGCCTTCTGCATTAAAAAAGATCAAACAGACACAAAAAAATATATCATTTGACGGGTTTTAAACCTGTAGGCCTTGATTAGAACAGATTTTGAATTCATTGTGGTGAAATTCATGGCTAAGACCATTTCAGATGAGTTTTTGAGAAAACTATTCATGAGGAAATGTCAAGGTATGATTTCATAGAATAAAAATGTTATCATCGGCAGGTTTGAAACCCACAAAGTCCAAGAGAAACAGATTTTGACTCTGGTGACAACTTGACTAAGACCAATGAAGATCAATGTCTCAAATACTATTTATTAGAAAATATTCAAGGGATGTTCTTATAGAAAAAATGTGACATTCAATGGGTTTCAAACCTGTTGCACTTCAATAGAAACAGATTTTGATTCTATTATGACAACTGCTTTGCTAGACACAACTCTGATTATCTTGCAAGCAAACTGACCATGAGCATGTGTCAAGGTGCATTTTCATAAAAAATGAATTTCATCATTGGCAGGTTTCAAACCTGCACAGTCCAAGAAAAACAGATGTTGACTCTGATGATTGCTTAGCAATTTCATTTTTAGCAGGTTTTGAACCTGCATAGACAGATTTATATTCTGTTGTATCAACTACTTGACTAAGACCAGTTATATGGACTCCCAATGAACTCATTCAGAAGCGACTTACATACTTTTGTGAGCAAATATTCAAGGCATGTTCTGATTGTGTAATCTGCTCTTCTTCAACCAATTCAAGACCTTTGGAGAGAATTAAATTGCTCTCATACTTATCATTCCACGTTTGCATCAAGACTTTAGTCATATATTGAACTTTGTGTCAAATATACTTGCATTTGCCTCTAGTAATGTTTTAGAGCAAAAAGCAGAATAAAAGAATCAACAGTGACCATGCTATTGAAAGAACTGACAAAATGCAGATAAAATGTGCCTTGAGGATTCACTTCTGAATGAGTCAATTGGAAGTGAATCTCACTGGTCTTGGCCAAGCTGCTGGTGCATGTTCATTTTCTCTCTCGGTTTGACCAAATGATAGCAAGGCTTATTACATGTATCTGCATATTCTGTTCCATGCATAGTTCATTACATATTACCTATCTGCCTCATTTTCATCGCTACAGTTCTCACCTACAGGTTCCAGACATTCACACAGTAGGATAAAACCTTGTGTGCTACATACAGTAGGACACTTCCCTTCCCTCAGATGCTACCTTTGTTTTGCGGAGTCACCTTAGTACTTTGTTCAAATTGACAAGCTTTGTTCATTCTCACTCTGCACCCGCGTATTCTTGACTGCTCCCAGGACGTGCCTCCAAGTTTTCCTCACCTAGGCTCTGCACAGATCCAAACCACTCTTGTGTTCCAACTTAGCACTTTTTATCTAGTCATACCTCGGCCGTAAACTTTGTCTATACCTAGCCACTACTTGCAGAACCACACTTTACCTAGAACCTGCTGCTCTTTACCTAGGATCCTTTTGCTTTCATTTTTTTTACATCGCGCTCTCACCGGACACATGGTCTTGCTTTCACTCTCATTGGTGGACTCGCATTTCCAGGATCGCTTTAGTTCTTTCCATTCCGCTGTAGGACTTGTAGTCCTTGTAGCCTCATAGAGGCTATTTTTGCAGTGTCCCTCAGGTCCTAGCGCAGCGCGTGCTATCACTACCACAGCGCGCACCCTTGTCCTTCCTCCGTCCTATCCATGTCCTCCGCTGGTCCATTGGTGCGTATTTTATCTCATTTGCGTTAGACTGATTATATTTCCGAAGGTGATATCACATATGTCTCGTTACTTGCATTATAGACCCTTAATATGTATTACTGTTATCTTCTCGGTTCCGAACAGCGCTACGCACGCTATCATATATACCTTAGACTTAGGATTTTTTATGTATCTTCTTTTCCCGCTATCGAAATCATCATCCGTTTGCACACATCACACAGACTCTAAGTCAGAAACCTTCGGCCAACTACACCGCGTGCTGTATTAACAGTCGCACTATCGTCCACACATCGCTCATCGCATCTATAGTCAGAGCTCTCTTCCCTCACTATTGTCGCATCGCATCTCCTTTGCATATCCGCTAGTCACGCGTTCATATAAACTGTCGGCTTTTCTCCGCGTCTCCGCGCTCCATCAAACTTTCAGCTGTTCGGTCGCACATCGTATCGCACCTTCGGCGGCTCGCTTGCGCTCGCATCGCTTCAAGCGCAACGTCACGCGCTCTTCCATTTTCAGTTACTCTTACCAGTTCAAAGTTTCCCCTCCATATTTTTACTTAGAGGAATCGTTCTCAGTAGCAATCCCTTTGGGCCGAATCTATACTCGCATCCAGAGGTCTATTTGAGTTTTACCCCACTTCACCCTTTCTCCCCCTTTCACCCCTTCTCATCTAGCTATCATTCCTCACACACACCGCATTTGCTCCCTTCACATTTTACTTGAAGGAAGTGCTTCATAGCAATCTTCTTGGGTCGAGACAGTACATCCACACTCATTTGGATTTATTAGTGCTCTAGCTTTCTTGCTAGCCTGCTACTATTACTTCTTCACACCGGTCAAGAAACTCCAGTGCAATCACCAAGCACTAGTAATACTTCATTGCAAAAAATTTCTTGTTCTTCCCACAGATCCACTCAGGCAGCCAATCTCAAAGTGGAAGTAGCAATCCATGCTTAGGGTCACCATCCATCTGGTGCTTCATAATCTGTCTCCAAGAGGCAGCTCTGGGGGTGTGGGTCCCATCAGAGTGTCATATTGTGACATCAGGGATGACAAGTCCATTCTCAGGTAATACTAGTGAGAGGGAACCAACTTGAATGATGCTGCTGTCTGTGATTTAAGTGAGTGCAGAGGGCTGTGAGAGAGTGGAGGAGAGAATAGCAGGGCAGTATGGCTAAGACTCAGAGCTAGGTGGCTGGAATGAGTGATGAATGATACAGGGGTTGCCTGGGTTAGACAGCAGAGTTAATGAGTGTGGAGCATTGCACATGCCTGTGCTGCTGGGTGAGTTGGGCAGGTTAGTTAGTTGCCCATTGTAGAGTGTGGCTGCAAGGGTGCATAGGTCACTCTGCAAACCTATAACATCAGCTGAGATGCATTTATACATTGACTGCAGGTCCTGGATGCAAACAGGCTTGAAAAGCAAGTGCTCTTCAAGCAGAAATGCATCAGCTTCATGCTGTATTAGACAGAGGGCATCACTATGGTCATTTTTATAGGTGGAGAGCTCATCAAGGAGATACAGGATCAGTGTATTGCACTAAAATTCATTCATTGTCAGAAACAGAAAAGCTTGAGTCAGTCTGAGACTCACATTCTCATTCTCTGCCCATGAACCCCACCATCTGACCCTTGTGAAAGTCCAGCACTGACTAGTAATGCCGCAGCTTGGCTATGGCCTGCTCCGTTTCGGTATTTACGGCTATGTCAGAAGTTCAGTGATCCCTGTGAGCCAAGCCACCAATTACAGACTCGGTCCGACTCATTAGCCATGTGAACCAGTTACAACATTTACAAGCCAAAAATGGATGAACCACAGCTTGAACCACTTCAAGCCAGCTTCAGCCAGTCCAAGCAATACACATGCGGCAGTTGAGTTAAACTTTTCTTATTGTCTCTCAGTGTTGGCTAGATTCTTTGACTCTTTGGTTATTGTATACACCATGGATAAGGTCCCTGTTCGAGTTGATGAAAGATTTAGGTTAGGAGATGTCTTGGGATCTGGTTCATATGGTATGTGATGCACATATTGCCGGCTACATGATAATTCAACATTTGGACTCCATTTAGCTGTCGTGTATCGTGCACAGAACATCATCAAGGATGATGCAGTTGCCATCAAACTCAAACCCATCAGCAACTCATCTTCCATCCAGCATGAATACAAAATTTTGAAACACATTGAAGGTGGTGTTGGTATTCCCCGTGTCCTTTGGTTTGGTAGGGAGTCGACGTATCACACTCTGGTTCTCGACCTCCTTGGACCATCACTATACAGTCTATTCCTTACTCACAACCAAAAATTCAGCCTTGATATCATTGTTAATCTAGGAGACCAGCTGGTCAGTTGGTGTGTGGGTTGTTGCACATGCAGATCACTGACCCACTTCCCCAGCTCTCACATCTCAAGTATATTCACGGTGATATAAAACCACAGAATGTTGTAGTGGGGCTTGGTGATTTGAGGGACACTGCCTTCATTATTGATTTTGGCATTGCAAAGGAATTCTGTAACACATAAACCAGTGTCCATATTCCATTTCACCAAGGTCAATGTCTCACTGGCACTTCTGCTTTTGCATCGATCAATAATCACTTGGGAGTGGAACCGGGTCATCGTGACAACCTTGAGTCACTTACATACATGTTGATATACTTTTTGCAGGGCTCCCTTCCGTGGTTAACCAGTGATGAAGAGAAACTCTCCAGCTCTTTGATACTCGAGTGCAAGGTGAACACTACCATTGAAGATTTATGTTGTGGAATTCCTGTCAAGTTCGCAACAATCTTCATTTACACGCGCTCTCTTGCATTCTCAGAGAATCTCAATTATAACCACCTTCATTCATTACTTCATGTGCTTAGTTCTATGTCACCTGCACCAGCTGTGTGCTTGCTGGATTTCAACCAGCCTGATGTACCTCTTATATATTCCCCTCCATTATCCAATGAACCCTGGGTAATTGAGGCAGTGCCTCCATGCCCACCGCTTTGCAGATCAACTCGTGTGTGAGTAGTCTGTTTATGCTCCTGCTTCATATGAATTAATATGATTGCAAGTTTACGTCCATGTAACGGCCCCTCCCTGCATGCAACTACTTCTACTCCACACCGGAAAAAGACTACACTCCCCTAGATTTAGCTTTGAAATTCTAACTCAAGGACTTCCAGTTACTATATTTACACATGTGCACAGTGTGGAATTACATATTTTCTGTACAAACACTGTATGCATATACTATACAATATAACACAGCTGCCAGCACCTATGCATGATGATGGTAATACTTGGTATTATGTAATATGATTTCTTCAACTCCCATGTAGTGCCCTCAATGTCAACATGCTATAGCCTCAGCATGTTCTGGGGTTTCCCCAGGCAAATATATATTGCTATCACCATGGTCCACCAACCACCAACAACAACATGCCTCCTCAATGGAAGAACACTTCCCGGCTTGCTACCAAAGCCACTGCTACTACTCTCATTGCTCCCATTCCCATTGCTGCTTCTGTTACTCCTGTTTTTATTGGTGCTCCCACTCCTGCTGGTGCTCCCATTGCTGTTGCTCCTATCACTGTTGCTCCCATTGCTGCTGCAGTGAATGTGAATGTTTTTTGCAATCCTCAAAGGCATCGTCAGCCTCCTCTCCGATTCAGACAAAACGATGGAGATGAAGCGAAATCCTTCTACCTTGAGAACATCTCTGGGGATGAGGAAGATGATGTGGTCAACTCACCTGCATCCGCAGTTAGGCCTGCAGCAGGCAACAGCCCACTTAAGACTGCTATGAATACTGCTATCACTGACCCTCTTGCCACTGGTGGACAAGCAAAACCACCTAAATCCTCTGCCAATATACATTTCTTCTTCAGACAGGGCCCTACGACTCATTCCAATATCTGCAAAGCCTGCGAGTGAGTATTGTGTCTGCATTCTATCATTCTTTCTAACATTCTTCGCCAGAAAAAGCCACGACCTTGATGTTACTTACCATGTTACATCATACATTCCTAGTACAAGCACCTCAACTTGTCGTGTACATGCCCTCACCAAACACACCGACATTTACCTGGAGGAGGCAGAGCATCAGCACTGGCATGTCCTCCATAAGTCATCACGACTGAAGACTTTTTTGGATGAAGGCTGGTCAATCATGATCATGCGTCAAAGGCTGAAAGATCCGGCTTGCACATTAGAGTCACTCGGTACTCCTCTAGTCCTGGCTCACTCCCTGGAACCAGCCTGTCGACTCCAGACGATATATTGCCTGTGTTTACTCTCAATGAGATGCATAAACACATCATCAAATTCATTATTGCTGATGACCAGGTGAGTTGATGTGCACTTTCTACACGCTATGGTTAGTAATTTTCTTCAGGCAATCAATATCATTGAATGCCCAGAATTTTGCTGCCTAATTCGTCTTCTGCGGCCATCAGTAAATGAGACTGATATATTCCATCGCACCAAAACTCGTGAGTTGATCATTGATGCTTTCCATGAGTACTTCAATGCCTTGAAGAGGGACCTTGCAGTAGGTCTACCATTGTCAAGAGCTCTACAAAATATCTTATATCTTCAAACCACCCAAGGAAAGGTTTATTCACATCTGACCTCTGGTCAGATTCCAACCTTCGCCCATTCATGGCCATGACTGCCCACTGGATCGCTAGGGCAGGTCACAGTTCAGCACTCGTCTTGAGGGCAGCACTGATAGGCTTCCACCATATTCCAGGGAGTCACACAGGTGATTTGCTAGCATCAGTAATCTTGCATCTCCTCGATTGTGCCAGTGTGACCAAAAAGGTCAGTGTTTGAGTGTACCATGTAATATGCTCTGACTTTGATTAGACTGGTCATTTCACTTTGGACAATGCTACGAAACAATCAGGTTGCCATGCGAGAGCTTTCGCAAAAACTGGATTCTCGTGGGATTGATTTTCATCCAATCTGACTGCAGAATACCTTGCTTCCCTCATATCATCAATATATGTGTGAAGCATATTATCAACAATTACCACAAAGCTGACTTTTTGCTCGTGGATGAAACATTGGGTAATTGGCAATCGCACTGTCATCAAGACAGAGTATGTCAAAGCTGTGACAGGGAAAGCTCTCAGCAGAGCTAGAGACATTGTGCACATGCTTCATGCATCAAACCAGCAACACAATTCTTTCAGGGACACCATCATCACAGGTAACAAGAAGAAGTGGTTCCTAGATGAAATGGGTGAGAAACTGCAGCTCCTTGTTTTCGAACTCCTGCTTGATGAGGCAACCCGTTGAGATTTGGTTTATATCATGCTCAACTGTTTATGAACCCTTCGCCAGGTGAGGTACCCCTCACTAAATATCTGCCATGCACTAATTGTAGCCCAGGCAATAGATCTATTCTTTGACTCTCCCACTCAACGCTCCATCAGCAAGTTCAAATTAAATTCGATGGAGTGGCAGTTCCTACAGGATGTCGAAGTAATCCTAGAGGTTAGTTCTGTCATATTCAAAATTCATGTTCCATTTTATTATTTTATACTAGGTGCCCCATGGTGCCCAACAATGCATGTCGGGCAAATGCACTCCCTGCCTGAGTGGTGCATTTCCAGCATTCGAAACATTGATTGAGCGGTGGAAGTTTTTAGCTCGACATGTCCCACACTGTGAACCTCTTGTTCAGATAGGTTTGACTTGGGCAGATAAGTATGATGAAAAGATGGGCACCACAAAAGCCTATGCAGTCAGTATGTATGAGTCCAGTATCCTTCAGTAATGTTTGGTTGCTCATGATTGCATTTATAGTTGTTGATCCTGCAATCCGAATGTTGTGGGTCCGGAGTCATTGGGAGGCACAAACACTTGCAGATGTGGAGAAACATATAATTGCTCTGGTACATCTATCAAACCAATAATAACTTTAAACTGATGTTATCACTTACAGATGTATCAAAAGTGAATTACAAACGGCTCAGCATCTGCAGAGTCTCCAGCTAATGAAGCAGCACCTCAGCAACAACCATGCATGCTAGGCTCACACCTTTTAACACCCAGACGGTCGAACAAGAATTTGAGGCCTACATCATGGCTAATCTCAGCCCTAAGGGAACAGATATACTTGGATTCTGGGCGATGAGTGTCTCTTATCTCTGCAAGTTAAATCATCATCATTGACCATGAGGTGTTGACCAGGTCTCACAGACCTTATTTCCGACACTTTATGGCATTGTGATGGACCATCTCCCAATACAGGCCTCTGCTGTTCCATGTGAGCGAGTATTTTTGTCCAGTGGTGAAACTGACACGAAGAAACGTAATCGCATGAGCCCGGTCCTGATGGAGGCCCTGCAGATGGTAAAGTTCCTCCTGAAAAAAGAATGACTCAACTTTATGAAAGGTTGGGCAGCATCACAAAAAGATATGGAGTACAAGATTTTGGGTGAAGGAGATGAGACTAACAATCTCTTGACATTTTCCAGCAGCAAAATCACAGGTGATGTATGTGACACTCTTCTCAGAGCTATCGCAGAGGAAGAATGCGATGACATTGATGATGTTCCTACCACCTATGACTTCTGATGTTTTTCTTCCTTACACATTTTTCACAGATTTTTTTTCATTCCTTGTTTACTATCCTGACTTGTTCCGGCTACCTGGCATCTTGCTATACTTCTGTGTCAATTGTGTGCTATACTACCTTCCTTCACCATCTGCCTTTCATCTGGTCTAACCTGTTTGGAGAGTGTCTACAACTCAACTCTTCACTTGGTCTTTGTGGTGGTTCTGAATATTGGTGAGTGCTTGAAGGACACACTGAGATGTACTGACTTTGAGCTAGGTATTGGGCTTGGTTCTAACCTTCCCTTGGTATCTGAGTTGATTTTCATGATATTGAGATACACTGCCACTGCTGCAAGCGTGCTGGTGCTGGTGTAAGTTCGGTTTGGATGCAGGCCCAAGTGTCACTGCAACTACAACCACAACCACAACTGCTACTGTGGGCATGGGATTAGGTGCAGGCAGGGACAAAGTTGTAGAAATCATTGGTATGCTGGTGCAAGTTCGGTTTGGGTGCAGGCCCAAGTGTCACTGCAACTACAACTGCAACTGCAACTGCTACTGTGGGCATGGGATTAGGTGCAGGCAGGGACGAAGTTGTAGAAATCATCAGTAAGCTGCTACTGCGGACATGGGATTAAGTGCAGGCAGGGGCGAAGTCGTAGAAATCACTGGCAAGCTGGTGCCGGTGTTTGGGTGCAGGCCCGAGTGTCATCACGACTATGACTGCTACTACTTCTGCAGGCATGGGAAGGCAGGGGCAAAGTCGTAGAAATCATTCATAAGTTCAATTTCATTTCAATCAAGTAGGCTTTTTTTTTTTTTTTGGGGGGGGGGATTTATACTAATACATGAATTAACTTTGTATCTACAGGCAGTGTGCAGTACCACTACTGCTGCACATCTATAACACAGGTTTGATCTTTATATCTAGCTCGTAAATATTAATATTAATTGTGAAGTGAGAAAAGATGCAGATACGCACCACATTATCCCTCCCGCTTCCAGCCCAACTTCTTCAACACCGCATGCAGCCATTTTTTCATCAGCTGTTCAACAACATCTGTTCCCTCTGCGACATTCACTCTCACACCTGTCTCCATTGGTCTATGCCCCATCTCCATGGGTCTACAGCTTTGAAACTCCTTCATTTTTCGTTTGATCTCTGCTTGCTCTGCTCGATACTTGCAAGCGCTATCAATACTGCAATACAGCTACTTCAATTTAGCTTCCGAAACATTGTGTGAGAATTTTCACGTACTTTGTCCTGTGGACCCATCTCAACTCGCAATCAATGTTGATCGTCAATATCTATGTGTTGAATGATGATTTTTGGAGTATCTCAGACACAAGAGGCTTGTTTCAGTGAGTCGAGCTCTGAAACGTGTTACGACACAAGGTCGTGTGCCACTTGGATAGTTCTAACAGCGACAACCACGACAGCGGTACCGAGTGCTGAGAGTCGTCGGCCTTTACAGACAAGCAAAGGTTGCGTACTCGAACGTAGCTCGTGTAGGCATGAGGGGTTACGCTGAGATGATAGCAGAGTTACAGACAGAGAGAGGTGTCTCTGTAGGTATGAGTCAATGTCGAGCAGGTAGCTTTAGCAGGACAAGGAGTTCAAGGGAAAACCAAGTAAGATTCAAGTAAGGAACATCTACTTTAATCTTTGACCTTATATAAGGCTACTCTATCGTGTCTAAGCTCAGCTTGAAGCTGGGTTCTAATCTGCTTATCTACATGAGTCAGAGATAGCATCCATGAGGCAGGCTTCTATCATAGATAGGATCCATGAGGCATCCTTCTATCAGTACATGAGGTAACATGAGGCTTGTCTTCTATCTTGATAACATAAATAGGTCTTCTAGACCTATGTTGTCATGTGTCGTCATATGCGGTCCAGACCGCTTATCTAAGCCGGCAGTTGCCGCTTATCATCTCTCGTCATCTGTTCATCATCTATTGTTATAGGGCTGGTGAGACCCTGGTATCGTCTATAGCCATGCGAGGTGGCAGAGGGCTGGTGGTGGCAGGGGATTCATGCCATGTTACTGTAACATTACCCCATTACTACCGTCAAAGTCACCGACTTTGATATCCTTTGTTCTAAGCTTCAGCTTCCATTGTCAGGGTAGGTGGCACCGGTGTCGTGGACGTGGAGATGGCTGGTACAAGGGGAGTTTTTGGTTCAGGCAAAGGCGGTGCTGTATATCTAAGTGTGAGGTCTGCGAGCGCTTTATGGTTGTGCTCCCAATCTAAGAGAGCTTCAAAAAACTTCTCTTCATCTCTAAACTCTTGAAGTATGATGTGTCCATGTGTCATATCCCGTATTCTGGACCTACATCCGACAAAGTTCCCACGCCTCATCCAGACCTCCGGACCCCCTGTCCATGTCCTTTATCTGTCCAGATGTCTATACGCCTGAATCCCTGTACCTTTGCATATCCATACATCCAGATCCAATATCCGGACAGCTGATCTCATATCCACTTCCCAGGATCTCCGGATCTGACCTATGCTTCATATCCGAACCCAAACCTTAAATAAGTGCTCATCCCCTTATGGTAATCACCTGTTTCCGGACATCCAGTTATCTCTATAACCAACTGTGCTTTATTTTCTGTACCTGATTCATTTCTGTCTTCATTTTATTAAGTTCCGATGCACTAGTGCTAGGCATTCCACATGCTCCGTCCATAGCCTCACATAGCCTTGCACTACACTGACTGATTCTCCATTATGTCCTCCCTAGTATATAAACCCTGTAGAAACTCCTGTATTTTCTTAGTCTGAATATTACACATATTAGTCCTCGCACTAGACCTCACACTAAGACCTCATACTAGTTCTAGTCCTCCGACTTAGTCAATATCCATCTCAGGCCTAGGGAGGAATTCCCTAGGTCAGAGCTCTGCTTCTCTGCTCCTCTGCTCCTCTGCTCCTCCATTCCTCTGAGTTTCTAGAAGTTCCTCCAGAACTGTCCTGCAGTCCTCCGGACCTATTCTGCTTCAGACTTTGTCCCTGCAGCCTTTCCTCTGTCTCCATTCTATTCAGGATTCATCCTGAGTAGCCATTACACATATCTGTACCAGGACAAAACCTCATAGTAATTTCTGGAAGTTCCTCCAGATTTTTCCCGCACCCCTCCGGAAGTTTCTCGCACTCATCCGGATCCGGACAGTCCTTCCGGACTCTCCTGCGCTCCTTCGGAAGTCCTATGGACTTCCTCTGGATGTCATCTGAATTAAGGGCACATACTTGGGTAAGGGGCACAGTGCACGAGCTGAAGCCAAGCCCTTCGGAATCAGTCCTACCCTTTGTGCATGGTCTTAACACCATGGAGTTGAGGGCAGTGGACCGACAGGTGGTCAGGTCTGAGTTCATTGCAGATGCAACAAACATAATCTGGACACTTTCTAAATGTGTGTCCATATCCTCCGCAACATCTACAAAGCATAGTGCAGGTACGATCTATGGTGGCCGCCTTTCATCTCAGTGGGTGCACCGGTCTGGATCTTTCTTCATTAGGAGGCCTTGCCTTGAGTGTCTGAACAGCTAGGTTCGCGATGTCGGGGAAGTTGAGCAGAAGGAGGTGAAGCACGAGTACGCGAATCCTTGTCTGTAAATGAAGCACGGCAAGTTTCTTTGTGCTTTCATTGAGGTCATCACGGTTAGCTACGTCTTCCAGTAGCTTCGTGGTACGGATAATGTAGACAGCAAGGGATGTCCCTGCACCGAGTCTGGTGTCTTGCTCACCAAGGATGTTGTCGATCTCTTGGGAGTACATGGGGGTGAGAATTGCGGTTTTGCTGAGTGTGTTGTTCTCAATTGTTCTGAGGATGTGTCCGTAGTTGGAGTCCTTCAGTGCAATTTTGATAGTTTCTTCTTCAGTAGAGGTTGCCATGATGGTGGGAGGTTCTGGGGAATTCAGATGTGCATAGGCAGGTTTATATGGTCCTTTGTGTCGTTTCAAGCTCCGCTTCAATTCTTGACTTATCTTTTGATGATTCTTCTATCGTCTTATCTAGCCAAGAGGCTGAGATCTTCTTGTTATCGGAATACAAGGTGCAGTTCTACGCTATCAGAGGGGAGGTGCTGTGATAGGTACGATCTTCCTTTATCCTTTGTTGGTTGTCGTCAATCTAAGGTTTCAGGGTTTGTCATCATCATCAGAGGGTGATAATTATTGCCATGATGGTACAGTCTTCTTCGATCTTTTGTTATCAGAGTCGAAGTTCATTCTAGAGGGTTCTATGGGCTTGCAGGAGTTTCCGTGGAGTTCGTCTCATGATAGTTTAGCCTCGTTCCGGAGGATCGTGGATAAGAGATCCATGGGCTTGCAGGAGTTTCCAAGGGTTTGTTCTTTCTCTGGTTCTTCTTCTTGATCTTTTGTTTGATATGATCTTCATTGGTCATCGAAGGTTCTGGGGGTCCAGGCGTAGGTGCCAAGGCTTGCAGGAGTTTTTTGGGGTTGTCTTGCGAGGAGGGGTCTTCTTAATCTTTGTTGAATATTATTCACGTGGATTGTCGAAGGATTGTGGATAAGGGGTTCCAGGGCCTTTAGAAGGCTTTTTGGGGAGTTCGTCCTTTCTCCTAGTTTTATGTCATCTCAGACAATCGTAGTTTTACGTCTTTCCGGATGATCGTGCAGTTTATACTCATGCCGGAGTCATCTGCAGTTTAACCTCATGCCGGAGGATCGTAGTTGGAGTTGGTCATCGAGGGTCGTCAGAGAAGTAGTTGGGAAATGGTATCGTGGTGGGGGTGTCATGCATGAAACGAGAATAAATCAGGGATTTTACCCCCTCAATAAGCCGTTTAGTCTACCATGACTAATCTTCTGTCTAAAAATCTAGGCCATCATCAGGGCCTTCATATTTGATGTTGTTTCCTTCTTCATCAACCATGTGCCAGGTGTGCATCGATGGTTCTTCTAAATCCAACCATATATCTTCTATGGGGTTGAAAGCAGGGTTAGGCGTAGCGAACACCTGGGGTTCAGAAGCGAGCATCATTGCTCCATTGCTTTTTTCTTCATCATCAGATTCCATATCTGTAAACCGGATAAAACTGGGTCCGGTGTCTTCTTCTTCCTTCTTAACTAGACGAGCAAACTCGTCGGGGTCATTCTCTTTCAGATCTTTCAGGCGATGAGCCTTGCATATAATGCGAACACATTCTATAAACATGTCGAAGTCAGAATCAGATGACTGTGCAGGTTCCTAGTATTGCATCATTGCATCATCGTGATTGTCGGTGGGAATCACCGCGGAAGGCATGGAGAAATTCAGGGAATTCAGAATGGGATTTTCATTGGCTGTGTCAGTATCATCAGCCAGGCTTTCATAAAACCTGAGTTTCTTGGCTTCAGGTGGTTCTGCCGTCAACACGGCTCTTCCTTTTCTGAGAACAGATATTGGTTCTCTGGAAAATTCAAATCTAGGGTTCATCTGAGTTTTCTCTGGTTCAGGGGCCAGTCTAGGTGCCTTTGCGATAGGTGGTTCTTCGGTCATCATGGCGCGTCCTTTTCTGAGGACTTGCGCAGGCTCCACCAAGAATACATGTTGTGCAGGTGCGGGGGTTTCTTCTTTCATCGACTGAACAGCCGGTGCAATCTTTGTCTTTATATGGCTTTCCGGGATAACATAGTCAGTTATTAGAGCTGCTCTAAAAATTTTCTTCTGAGTTGTCTCCAGATCAGTGGCTGGTCTATTCTGTTCGAATTGTCATGCCGCAAGGTCAATATGAGGCAGTGAATCTTTCTTCATGATCATCATTGATCATGGTGCAGGTGTCGGGAGTTTAATGGATGACTGGTTCCCATTCTGCGGTTCTTCAGGAAGCGGTATGATCTGGGTCATTGGTGCCAAGCTCATAGAAGCGAGGCCACTAGAGAAGGCATGGGGGGTGTTTGAGGAAACGGACTGTTTCCTTTTCTTCTGAGCGCCCTTCTTTTCTTCTTTCTGGAAGAGGGATGTCTTGCCATTCTTCTTCCAGTCAGAGTCAATCTCCTTTTCCTTCTTTCAGGAATCTGCGGTGCTCTTAAGAGTCACCGTGCCATTCATCCAGTTGATGATAGGGTTGTGGCTTGTAAGCCAGGGTTGTCCAAGCAAGAACTTGTCCTTCGGACCAAGTTCTGTGAGGTAAAACTGTTCCGTGGTTACCTGTTCGTCTATCTGGAAGGTGAGGATGCAACACCTTGCTATCGGCTTCTTTTCAAAGCTGGATCCATCAGCATTCGAGAGCGTCAATGGCTTCTCTAGCTGGTGCGACAAGATTATGTGCTGTGTGATGAAGTCCTGGTTCACAAAGGACTCGCATGCCCCTGAGTCAACAATCATAGATGTCGTGATGGGGGTGTTTCTCATTCTGGTCATCAGGGTGGCATTCACCCATAGTTCTTTCCTTGCTCCAGTCTCTTTGAGAGAGTTTACTCGGAGTTCTTCTTCAATCATCTTTCTCCGCGGGGTTCTGGGCCATTGTGGGCAGCCCGTGACTTTGTGGCCAATGGTGTGGCATACAAAGCATCTTTTCTCATTTAAGTAGATACGAGTCTCCTTTCCCATAAGGTGGGAGGTGGCCATGGTGTTTCGGGAAGTTGCCATATTGGAGATAGTTATCTTCAGATCTTCGTAGTGATTCCTGCAGGAAGTCTTCTACTGTGACAGCAGTTCTTATATTCTTGTGACTGGTCAGGCTGGTACAATCGGGGGTTTCTTCTACAGATCTTCGGTAACGTTGAAGATAGGTACGATCAGTTATCTGGCGTCACAGATGGGTGATGTGTGAATAAGACTTTAATCTTTTGTTATGACACAAGGTTGTGTGCCACTTGGATAGTTCTAACAGCGACAACCACAACAGTGGTACACTGGGTGCGGGATCTATCTTTTCTGCCGGAAAAACAGTAAACTTTTTGAAAGAAAAAGTCAAAATTTATCTTTGATTTAGTCTGCCTAAAAATTATGAAACAAGATCATAATTTTCTTCAAAATTTACAATGTAACAAAGTGTAAACAAATTAAAATTTGGCATTTTCAATTTCTTCATAATATATTGGGTGACAATTTGCACTCACACATTGACATGAGACACTGGACATTGATATGGGATACTGAACATTGAACTTGGATATTGAACATTGCACTCAGACATTGAACTCAGACATTGGACATTGGACTTGGACATTGACATGGGACACTGGACATTGAACTCAAACATTGAACATTGCACTCAGACATTGATGGAAGATATTGGAAATTGAACTTGGACATTGAACATCGAATTAGGACATTGGACATTGGATTTGGACATTGAACTTGGACATTGAACATTGAACTTGGGCATTGCACATTGAACTTGGACATTAGCCATTACACTCAGACATTGAAAATTGCACTCTGACATTGGATTTGGACATTGACCTGGGACACTGGACATTGGACATTGAACTTGGACATTGAACTCAGACATTGAACTTTGCACCCAGACATTGATTGGAGACATTGGACATTGGACATTGGACATTGGACTTGGACATTGAACATTGAACTCAGACATTGGATGTTAAACTTGGACATGGGAGATTGAACTCGGACATTGAACATTGAACATTGAACATTGAACTCAGACATTGGACATTAACATGGAATATTGGACATTGAACTTGGACATTGAACTTTTCACTCAGACATTGATTGCAGACATTGGACATTGGATTTGGACATTGGACATTGAACTCGGACATTGAACTTTGCACTCAGACATTGATTGCAAACATTGGACATTGGATTTGCGCATTGAACTTGGACATTGGACATTGCACTTGGACATTGACTTTAGACATTGGACATTGGGTTCAGACATTGGGCATTGCACTTGGACATTGACATGGGACACTGGACATTAAACTCAGACATTGGACATTAGATTCAGACATTAGAGATTGCACTTGGACATTGACCTGGGACATTGGACATTGGATTCAGACATTGGGCCTTGCACTCGGACATTGATGTGGGACACTGGATATTGCACTCAGACATTGGACATTGAACTTGGACATTGGACAAATCATAAGTTTGTGGACCATTCATTATTCACAGGCCCTCTATTCCTGATATTTGTTTTAATTTTTCCTTATTTTGTATTGCAAACAAACTCTGGACATATCAGAAACCAAGTTCATGATTTGTTCTGTTCAATTTTATTTTGGTTTTTCTCATGTCTAAATCTGAGACAAGTGTTGAAATTTGCCTTTCAATTTGTCCCCCATATCACCATTAATAAAACATGACATTTATTGTGACAGAAGGTCACAATCTTGTTTTGATTTTTTCATCAGACAATGTTAGGAAAAATTTAAATGATTATGTGGTCCTGATTTTGTCCACTTTTTTCCACAAAACAAATGATAAAAAATGTTTTGATTTCTCCATTTAATTTGTCTGATATACTTTTTCAAAACAAATCATACCCCGTGTTGCTTCTAAATTTTTATAGTATTTTGTTCAGCAACAAAGGTGAACATTATTCTAAAATTGTCATCCAATATATCATGAAGAAATTGAAAATGCCAAATTTTAATTTGTTTACACTTTGTTACATTGGAAATTTTGAAGAAAATTATGATCTTGTTTCATAATTTTTAGGCAGACTAAATCAAAGATAAATTTTGACTTTTTCTTTCAAAAAGTTTACTGTTTTTCCGGCAGAAAAGATGGATCCTGCACCCAGTGATCATAACTCCATCAGTCTCACTTATGTCACCATCATTTTCGGAGTCCGAGAGAGGGTAACTGTTGAGTGGGGGGAGAGGCTCGAGTTTGGCTTCATGTTCATGTACCAGGATACATTTCAAATGGCGTGTTGTGAGTGGATGTGAATCAGAATGATCAGAGTCAGTTAAACCTCCATCGTCGGATCCAGCTTCAGATGATGAGGGATTAGTCTGGTCAATGGGATATCCCTCTGGAAGGTTCAGCTGTGTTGACAAGGATACACTTGGGGTGAAGTTGTTAGCTGTAAAGATCTCTGGTGTGCATTTCGGTCAGCCATTCTCATCAAAACTGATCCCTGACTTCAACCATGCTTTTTGAATAGTTGATTCCTTGAAGGACTCGTCCCATGCACCCAGATATTCCCGTACAACGTCACTTGCTTGCATGTGCTGACCTGTTTTTTCATAGATCGTGTCACAATGACTGTACCAGGCCTGCTTGAGAGGTCCAAAGGCCCCAACATCACATGGCTGCAGACAGTGTGTTATGTGAGGTGGGAGGAGGTACAGTGTGATGTTGTTTGCAAGTGCCATGTCGATCAACTCAACTGTGTTGTGGGACCCGTGTCCATCGTAGATAAGGACTATTGGCTTCGATGTGTCTGCATGTGCCTTGGCATCACGAATAAAGTTTTTGTAAACCATTCAACACACACAGTGTCAGTAGTCCAGCCATTGTCGGTGGTTGCAATCCTAGAAGCACATGTAGCTGTGAGCAAAGGACAACAAACAATACCAAGATTAATCACAGGACTCCGTCAGGTGCATCATACCACTCTGAGCTGTGGTATGTGCCTGAGAATATGAAACAGGGCTTCACAGTAGCTGTTCCATTAGTGCAGACAGTTTCAAGAATTGTGACGAGTTCAAGATCATCGCTTTTGTGTTTGTACTTGCTCTTGTCTCCCTGTGCAAAGAAAAAGAGCTCGCCATTGGTTTTGCGACCACCACCAAGCTGAATACCTATTTTGTCAAAGTTAAAGATGTTGCAGAGAGGGATGTCATCGTTGTTGAATATGTGCTAGATGTTTTTGAAGTGCTTGTTGACAATTGTGAAGTTGAATTATTGTGCACACTTTGAATCAAGTCCAGAAGGTCGGAGAAGAGTGCAGTCAGGATTTCGTCGAATGAAACATTCCACCTAGCATTGTGATGGCTTACGTCCACACAGTGATTCAACCTTAGGAGCAATGGTACATTTTGACAGTGGTATTCCAGTAGCCTTAAGCCACTTGATCCAGTTAGTGATGTTCTGGCCTGGCTTAGGCTCGGCCTGGGGAGGCTTAGGCTTACCAGATTTGAAGCCTGAGCCATGAGCAACACCACAAACACCATATACAAACGCCCAGCACATGTCAGCAACTGCTGACATGGCTCAGACGAATATGGACGATGGACGAGAGCAGGAGAAGGAAAGACAAGGAGGAGAACAAGAATGAGAGAGAGGAGATGGACAATCAGTAGCACAAAAGTCTGAAAAAAAGGCACTTGAATATAGATATCATGTCAATATGCATACTAGTAATGTGAACACAGAGGACAAGCACTGTAAATTTGGTGAGAAGTGAATACAGCACTATAGAGCCTGTACACAGGCAAACACTCATATGTTGATCATTAACGAGGATTCAAAGTGTCCTGCATGACCACCGACGTGACAAGGTGTCATATCTCTATGTACCAAAGCCGCAGCTTGGGCCGCTGGCTTAGGCTTTTCTAAATCCAAGCCCAGGCCTAAGCCCTGCTCAGGCTGTGACTTAGGCCTGGGCTGGGCCCAGCTTGGGCTGGCCCAGGGCTTCAAGCCAGGCCTTGCACATCACTAGATCCAGTTCCGAAGCGCATTTTCCTGAGTGTGGTTGAGAAGCTGTTGTTGCATGTGAGCTTTAACACAAGGTTTAGTCTTGCCAAGAAAACACCGGTTGACGGTGTGGTAAAAGTCAGTGAGACCAAGTTCACGGCAGGCCATTGCAACACTGGTGTACTTCTTTTCGTGAAGTGCAGTGATGGCTTCCTGGATCCGTAACTCATGTGTCTCTGCCTTGAGACCATCCTTGCAGTACAATGCTGATTTCAGCATAATATAATGAGTGAAAGTGTAGGTTTATTAATGTAGTACTTCTAGATGATTAGAGTGATGTTGTCTGTGCATCTGGCACTGAGTATGATATATGATTGATAGTTTGTATGGCAAGTTGTGTAAAAATGAACCAATATGAGCCCGGGGATGTCACACATCTGTCACATTCATGCTCACCGTGATTTGCACAACTGTCTCATTCATACACACCTCTTCAAAACACCAATTGAGGGGGTAGAATAGGTAGTAGGAGTGTTTTAGTTTATGTATATGTTTTTTTTTCTTAAATTTTGTATTTGTGTGAATGTGCAACATGTCAATCATTGTCTGATGTGCAAAATTGAGCCTGATTTTGACCAGTGTTAATTTTCTGCAAAACGCAAAACTCTGCCAAGGCTCTTCAAATTACGCATATGAACTCTTCTACAGACTACTGATACAGTCCATTTTTTTGGTATTTAATTATTTGTGAGTTGAGGCCATACATCAAAATTTTGCATTCATTACTGAATAGAGGGTAGCTCGCTATGACCTGATGTTGATTACATAACATCGTCATCAAGGCATAGGTGTACATAGCATTGTAAAGCTAAGAGCACATCCAGTAAATTATGTTTTACATTATAGAACACAAACTCGTAGACTACACTTCTCTCATTCTATATCCATGACTTGCAAGGGACAGTCATTTTGTCATGATCGAACCACGTGCTAGCTAATAGCATGAACATTAAATAATATGACCAGAGCATTGGCTGGTCTCGGCAATGGACGAAAATATTTAGTGAGCATTCCAGCGCACTGGAAACATACAAGCAAATTTCTTCTTACACTATAGAACATAGACTGCCAGACTGGACTTATCTCATTTCGTATCTAAGGATTGTAAAGGCAAATCATTTTGTCATACTTGTAACACGAGCAGATGGGAGCCCCAGTGCCATGGCAACATTGAACGATATGAATAATGGTATTATATTGTCTCTATGACTTGAAAATAGCTTATCAGTGTGCTAATGAAAAGAAGGAAGATATCAACATTGAGATTTGTGCGGTCAGGACTCAAAAATTCACATCCTCGTCAGTATCCTTGTCAGTAAGACCCTCCATGTGATCCTCCTCCTCCTCGCTATCCTCCTCACTATCCTCCTCCTTGTCAGTCTCCTCCTCCTTTTCAGTCTCCTCCCCCTCGTCAGTCTCCTCCTCATTATCAGTCTCCTCATCGTCATTACTCTCCTCACCCTCATCACCACCGTCCTCTCTCACTTTGTTCTCCTCATCTTCCCTGCTAACTATCTCATTCTGCTCGACTCTCCAAGGTCCGTGACCAACACCAGTGCTAGTAAAACGAACGAACATATCATGATCAACGAAACTATGAACAAAATCAAGATTGTGAATCGAATTTCAGATGAGGACTTACATGTTAACATAATATGAGGTCCATTCGTCATCCTCTCTCCATATGCATCCTGCAGACTTTTGCTGCAGTGTAGACTGGACCCTTCCATCTGCAAATGCTGGGATCAGGTGTATCCCACGAACCACTGAGGCAGGATCAACAAAGCCGAACACAGAGTCATCAATCTCGGGTACAAAGGCAACTTTGGGGAGACGAGCTGCTTTAATCCCAGAATGGTGGTGTTGAACTGGATCAAACCATCTGACAAATAAGATCTCCATTTGAGTTTTCTGTGCATTCACTCCACCCGATCGTAGGTCGAGTACATTGACATGGAATATGTGCCGCACTCGAGCATACCAGTAGGGATGGGTCGAACAGGATCTGGAATCACCCGACAATAGCATGATATCAGCGTGGTTGTGGGGGTTAATCAGATCTTGCTCGCATTGTAGATCATATGAGGTATAGTTGACACGTAGTGTATTGACAGAGAACAAAATACAGTCACATATGACAATGTTGTTTCTGTCGTCACTAGAAAATTCAGCGGGGCCATCACTATCTTGCGCCCATAAGCAACGCAATACGTGATCCTTGAGTTTGGGGATGAATTGCTTGTAAGAGTAGCTGATTAGTTGAAGTATGCAGGCCCATACAAACACGCACCTTAAACACTGGATCATCTTTGTTGTCCTGAAGTAGTTTGTGTATATGCACAGGAGAATTGCGGTGGTGAGATAGTTGGTGATGAAGGTGTGGGTCTGGAGGCAGAAGTTTTTCAGTGCCAACTGGAGCCAACACTGATTCCTTCTCTAACTCCCGCATCTGTCTAAGTCTTCATCATCATTGTTCATGTTTTGAAAGTTGCTTGGCTGTATTGCACTTGTTAGTGAATGGGTAAAATGCCTTGATGGCCCTATGGGCCAGTTCGCCCTATAAGCCATATTCAGCATTGAAGTTTAAAGTGACAACTAACTGGTACCATATGATCTGTGTTGTAAATGAGTCAGTAGTTCCAAAAAATTTAATGGACTGAATATAATCCCCGAGAGCATGAAATTTATAGGTTTTCATATTAAATCATCTTCGCTTTGGTGAGGAGGAAGGTGCATCAGTAGTCCAGCTTTCATTACGGGCTTCTTGCCGATGGTGTGAAGCCCTTTCCCTCGGAAGCTCAACAGTAGTATAGTCCTCACAGACCCGATGTCAGAACTTTTGTAGCTGCTGAGTGAGGGAGGTAAATACTCTTGACATAGAATCCAGAGTCAATTCTGTGTGGAGCCACATCTTTGCATAGGAGTGCCATTCAGCAAACCTGAATAGAAGGGTTTGCACTATTGTGTCATGTGGGGTTGGCAGGAGTCCTTCGAAAACAGGTATAGCACACTGCAATGCCATCAGTAAAGATATCCAGATAGAAAGTGCAATGACCTGTAAAATGTCCTCAAAATCTCTTGCGGCCAACCTCGTCATGCTCGATGTATCATTGGAGAACCTTCGGATAACACCTTGGCCAAATGTAGGCACATGTCTGAACCTGATGATGTTCTAAACCTTTCTGTATGTTCAAATAATAAAATCTTACCTTTTGTTAAGCCTAGTTATAGCTTCGGCGCCTTTTGGAAGGGCATATAGAAGGCGAACTAAATGGGTAAAGAGACCCTTCCAGGTCCCCAACTCGACCTTGTGCATAAAATCAACAACTAGCATACCAAACGGGTCAAACCCAAAAGGACCAAGCTTTTGTGCAAAGACATTCTGAATGCCACATCTCAGCTAGATTAAATAGGGCACACAAAATACTCACTATAGTTGGGACCCAAGACTCACTGGAGAGAAGATTTCCCACAGTGGTTCCATCGACTGCGTACCCAGACTTGTACACGAAATCGCGAGCAGCTTGTACCATCTGTGAGCAATAGACCCTAAAACCTTCAACTCGTGAGCGCATGTCTCTCATAAATCCAACACGATCAGATTTTGATTTTGTCACCAGGCAGTGGGGGCAAAGACAAGATCCCATGTCTTTGATGGTCACAATGAGAATCCTAATATTTATATTACAGCAGCGCCCAACAAGCTTATTGGAACTCACTCACTTTTTGGGATAATCCACAGAATAAGTAAATATTCGAGGAAACACACGGTGCAGCACACCATCAGGGCATCTTATCACAATACCATGGCTGTATGCGTTGTAGGACTTGGAGTCCTTGTAGCCTCGTAGAGGCTATTTTTGCAGTGTCCCTTAGGTCCTAGCGCAGTGCACGCTATCACTATCACGGTGCACATCCCTCCTATCGCCGGCCGACGGCCGCAGCTCATGCGTGCGCTTCGGTTCGCATCTGCTTTTTGTCGGTTCCGTTGTGCATCCTTCCTCCATCCTATCCATGTCCTCTGCTTGTCCATTGGTGCATATTTTATCTCGTTCGCATTAGACTGATCATATTTCCAAAGTGATATTCCTTATGTTCTGTTACTTGCATTATGGACCCTTGATACATATTACCGTTATCTTCTCAGTTCCAAACAGTGCTACGCGCGCTATCATATATACTTAGGACTTATAATTTTTCATGTATCTTCTTTTCCTGCTATCAAAACTATCATCTGTTTGCACGCAACACTCTGACTCTAAGTCTAAAACCTTCGGCCAACTACATCGTGTGCTGTATTAATGGTCGCACTAAAACATTCGCGCATCGCTCATCGCATGTATCGTCAGAACTCTCCTCCCACTTTATCATCGCATCGCATCTCTTTTGCATAACCGCTAAAGGCACGTTCATATAACCATCGGCTTTTCTCCACACCTTCGCGCTCCATCAAACTTTTGGCCGCTCGGTCGCGCATCATATTGCACCTTCGGCAGTTCGCTTGCGCTCGCATCGCATCAGCGCAACATTGTGTGCTTCTTCCATCCTCAGTTACTCTTACCAGTTTCTAAGTTTCCCCTCCATATTTTACTTAGAGGAATCATTCTCAGTAGCAATCCCCTTGGGCCAAATCTATACTCGTGTCCGGAGGTCTATTTGAGTTTTACCCCACTTCACCCTTTCACCCCCTTTCACCCCTTCTCATCTAGCTATCATTCCTCACACACAGCATGAAGAAATTCGGCATCCAAAAGAATATCCCAACATCCCTGGAAAAGAGCAGCTGTACCGCTTTTCGTAAAGACCCCCAGGTCTCGGATGGTGTCTTTGATTCGATCTGGAAGCTATCCAGACGTGAGATTACTTCAAGCAGTTTACGTTAATGGCACTTACAGAGGGCAAGAATCTAATTAAGTGACAAGCTCCTGAGTCTGGCTTAGCACAAGCATACTTTGACAGGTTCCCAAAAAATAAATATAATGGCCATGCCGATGCATTTCCGAAGTTGGCTAGTTGGGTTGTGTCCGAGGAACACATCAAGCCTGCAATCACTCGCTCAAGGACACAATCAGGTTCCTTCAGCTGTTTCTGTAAGTCATTGTGAGCTTGTAGCCATGCATCAGATGTATAAAGTTCATCATATACGCGATATGTATGACCATCGTTTGGGTCAGTCCAGAGACAACGAAATGGCCATAGATGAAATGCTTTCGCTTGAGCATCCGAAAATGCCTCATAAATAGCACCAACCAATGACCAGTAGTGAAACCCCGGGACTTTGAATGGGTGGCCACCAGGTCTATCAGCTGTCCGACTGGGAACTTGAATCATTACATCTGTCTCTGTCCAGCCTTCCGGGAATCTAACGGCTGCAGAGGGTGTGTCACCATTCACTAGATTTAGTTCTGGCATATCAAGAAGGTTCAGCTGCTTCCGCATACTAAAGCCTTGCAGGTCGTTGACGCTGAAATCCTCTGCGAGCAGCACATCATGCACTAGACATGAAACTTCTGCCTCCAACTTTCTAGTACTTCTGCTGGACATCCAGTTGAGTAGTTGATACATGGCCATGTTCAGAAAGGGATGTGGAGGTGGAGGAACACCGATTGCAGAAGGCTGTAGTGTAGGATATTTTTTGGCTAGTAGATGTGAGGGAATGAATATATTGGGTTCATAGGACGGACATTGTGGGTAATCACGAGATAGACCAAATGATCCAACAACACTACGAATAGATTCGGTGACCAAAAGAATCACCCTCCAGATAACACTATTGACTGGTGGTGTGTCTTGTGTTGTAGGGAGGTCATCGCATGCGACATCCTGAGTGGCTGTTTCAACATTATGAACGACATGTTCTACAGGCGCCATGACTCAATACTGCTTAGGTAGTCTGATGTTTCTCCGTGGTTTAGAGCGAGCTATTTGAAATGTTAGCATGTAGAATAGTGCAAGGGTCAGTTCCTCACCAATGCAGTCCAAGTGTATGTTCCTGTCACCAGAAGGAGCACACAAACTTCCTGAGGTCAAGGGATCTGATATGAAAATGGTCAGTACAAGAAATCAAGAGAATTTTCAAGCTTACCGATGTCCATAATCGGTTCATCAATGTTCCCACTTTCTGACCATGCAACATTGGTTGGATCCACAGTACTACTATTAGTAGGAATTATATTGATATCCATTGGGGACTGGGGATCGGGATTCAAAGAGGTTATCTCTTCAATATTTGGACGTCTAGGTGATGCTAGTTCTGGTGATTCATCATTACTTGTAAATGTTTCTGCCCCAGTGACAGGGCACTTGAGAATGGCTTTGTGAGCATTGCAAGCATCTCCAGAAAATTCAGAACTCACAGGAGATCTGCATAGTTTCTCTTTCAACGCCTTTGCAGCTATCACATTTTGCACATGGTCTTTTTGTTTTTGAGAGGCTGTGACTGCTGTCTTCTTGTATTCGACACAAGTTTTGCGGTGTAAATTGAGAGCGCGCTGGTCTTTTAATACCCATAGGCAACCATGGGCGCCGCAAGCAATGTTGACCATCAATGCAATCCAGAGAATTAAGATGACTGTTGTGCCGCCAGTAGAGTGTTTAGATCTAAAACATTGTTGGACCATGAGTCTATCAATGAAGATGTACCATGGATGTGTAGTAGTAAACAACACTACTCGGCCGCTTACCAGGTCACACCACGTGTCCAGGTTACATTATGTTGACTTAGTAGATTAATATTCTTGTATTGTACTCATGAGAGACTAGCACACACCTGTTCTGCCTTTATCAGACAAAGGTCATGGCATTGAAAGTTTCCTATAGGCCAAGGGTCCCAGATCCAGGTGGGTGAACAATGATAATTGTGTTATTTGGTTACTCACAAAACTCACAGCTGGCCTCATACTCATGGTGTTGCTATGAACCCTGTCGACCATCCTCACGGTGGTGGTAACCACCAACACATCAGAAAAGCCTTGACAGTTCCTCGCTCTGCAGTTCCTGGACAGAAAGTCAGTCTTATTGCCGCTCGCCGGGTATGTCTATTTTGTAGCTTGCATTCATTTTTGTGCATGCTGAATGATTTTGGTAGACTGGTCTGCTATGTGGTACCGTCAAGGTCAAGGAGGTCTAAGAGGTCAGATGTTTTTTTTCTACATATCACTCACTATGCTTTACGACCCAATACATCCCTCAAAATACTTGTATGCATCCGCATATGCCCTATGATCATGCACACTGCCCTTAACATGCTTAGTGATGTTCCAGCCTGGCTTGGCCCAAAAGCCATGGCTTTGGCCTGCAAAAAATCCAGGCCGGGCCAAAGCCGCCAATGATGGCTGACTTTGGCCCGGCCCTGGCCTGAGCCGCAGCTCGAATAGTGATAATGTAGTCACTCACATCTGCACTGAAAGATGTACATTTAGTTTTATCACTCACTTGAAATTCAAAAGCTCACACAAACAGGAAGCTTGGGAGAGTCTTGAGCGCAAGTTCGGCGATATTGAGAAGACGCACAAGTCTGAGCTCTGATGCGAATGCTGTGCACTCGAAACAAAGACTCTGCACTGCGCAGCACCCTTGACTCTTACAATGCCAAGGCGACCTCGAAGCTGTCCAAAGAGCTTGGGGAGACCCATATGACTGTGCTGTAGGTATACAACACAGAGTGGGGCTATACAAAGATGGCTCCAAACTGGTATCTTTATGTTGTGGTCTTGCACTGCCTAGTCTGCTATACTTGGTGACAAGTGCATTCGACCCAGGGGTCTGCAGTCTGGGAATATTTTTTGGGGGTCAGTGGGTGATGTGAGGTTAATAATCCGAGCGCAGTAAACAATGTCCGAAGGTATAATTACGATGTCCGATGCAAAGCGTCAGGTCCGATGTTTTTTGGGTTTTGGGTTATCAGGTTCGGGTTCGGGGTATCAGAAACTAATAGCTACGTGATAGCGAGCATCGGGAAAGCGAGCGGTGTGCGCAATAATAACAATGATGGATACGGACAGTGAAGGAATGATGATATTCGCAATGTCAACTAAGAACTACGAAATATCGGGTTTGACCCCTAAGCATCGGAGACGATTCTCCTCTACTCGGATGATGATGATGCTATGGGGAGTCCAATATTTAAGTAGATACATAGAAATCCGGAACCCTATAGGCGAAAGTAGTAGTGCAATATTTCAGATCTGATGTCCTATGTAATAAGACATGAGGTACTGCGGACTATGGGAATACATGTAATAACACGGTTGACAATGTTAGGGATGTGAAAACAAGTAACTACGCACCTAGTGGGGCTAGCGTGATGAGACTGGACATAGGTAGGATGAGTGCGCGCGATATCCAATCGGCTGATGCAAAACCTGATGTCCGATGTCCGATGTTTTCGGGTTTGGTGCATATTGAGTCGGATATGATAGGGAATGGTTTGGGTAGTGATTAGCATTCAACATGCATCAGAAAATAGACCTCTACGAGGCCACAAGGACTCCAAGTCCTACAGCGTGGTTCTCATTGCAGCTAGAAGTTGACAGGCTGAAGTGTGATGTCGACCATTTAGAGGATGAACTATCTTGTACGAGGAAAGATGTTGGCGACCGAGAGGGTATGGCTCGTGATCGTGAAGATCTGATTCATAAACTGCAGCTCGAAGTACAACAGCTCACTGGACAGCTCAACACCTGAACTCAAGTGTGTCTCAGCATCAAAGAACTAGTGTGAACCATAGTGTTGTCTCCAAATGGGAAGAAGGCGGTCAGCAGGAGTGATGATGGTGGAGTCAGGTTGTGGGATATCAACACAGGCAAGCTTCACCACCCTATTACCAACACCACAAACACCATGCGCAAACGCCCAGTGCACGTCAGCAACTGCTGACATGACTCAGACGAATATGGACGACAGATGAGAGCAGGAGGAGGGAAGCATTGGGTGGGATGCCAACAAGTGCATTGAGAGCAATAATGTTTGCATTGATCTTGTCCACCGGAGGTGAACCGACATGCGTCATCCTAAAGCCAATGATCAAAAGCACCAAAAACTACGATGAAATACATATGTATGATCAGCTATTTCATTTCCAGCAACATGCCAATCAGTGACAAGGGTATAGTTGGTATAGTTAAGAGACGTGAAGCATGATGGCAGATTCTCAGTTGAGCTTGGGCGCCGCAAGGCTCAGGCACAGTTTCAAAAGCCGTGGCCCGAGCTGGCGGCTTCAGCTTTTCATAATGTCAGGCCAGGCCAAAGCCGTCACCAGGCCATGACTTTGGCCTGGAGCCAGGCTGTGCACATCACTAAACATGCTATTTAGCACTGTGTGATGATGGGCCTATTTGCTTGCGTCTTTGTTAGTGATGAAACTTTGGTGGTTAACATATGAGTAGCAGAGACCATTGCTCTTGTTTCAGGATTGTATACCCAGGACGAAACACTTACTCTCATTGAGCTCCTTGAGTCAATCAATCTACATATAAACGTGTTTCTAACTTTTAGCAAACTTCTCGAGTCCAAATGGCATGTTATGAGCTAGACTATGTTCCGCAGTTAGAAAGATGAAGACTATTAGAATCTGTAGCTTTGACGTGGCACCCTGATGTTAAAGTGCACACATTTAAATTTCAAGCTTGCAAGTCTTGTTTTTGTATAAAGACAGGGCATAGTATGGCAAAAGGAAAAGTGGCATAAGGCATAAGGCATGGGGCATGGGGCATGGGGCATGGGGCATGGGGCATGGGGCATGGGGCATGGGGCATGGGGCATGGGGCATGGGGCATGGGGCATGGGGCATAGGGCATAGGGCATAGGGCATAGGGCATAGGGCATAGGGCATAGGGCATAGGAATAGTGGTGTGGCATAAAAACTAAAGGAAAAGTGGCATGGGGGTATCATGAAGTCGTAAAGTCATAAGGCATAAGGCATAAAGAGGTGTGATGAGATGAGTCATAGACAAACCATAAAATAGACCGGATGGAATAGGCTGCATGTAGAGCTGCGTGTATGTAGTGCACACTTCGAATGGGTGCAGGCTTTTCCGGTGTCTGGGCAGAGAAAAGGTTGTAATCATAGAATAGGTTGGGCATGGAGTTGTGTGTAGACTGTAGTATGCATGAATGGGTGTATGTTACAGTCATCTGCAACACCTACAAAAGCCCCCGCTCTGCTAGACTCCTGACGCGGTGGTGCGCCGCCTGCACTTAGAAAGACAGCGGTCTGGACCGCTGTGACACTGCCCCTGGCCTAGACGGCCTTGTACCTGATCCATGGAGGCTGTACGCCTCATGGACACCCTAGATCAGCACATGTATACCTCATGCCGCTTCATGAAGATCCGGAGTGCCCTTGGCGCCTCTTGTACCTGTGCAGTCGCACTTGGCGCTGCATGCTTGATTAGAGATTGAGCCTCATGTATCTTATCTGTCCTCGTGGTTGACCTCATGGTCACTTATCATAGATCCCAGATATACTATTAGATACAGACTGAGCTTGAACACTTATATGTAGACATATAAGTAGACAGATTATTGTACTGAGATCTTTACTTTAATCTACTTGGTTCTACCTTGAAACCTGTTCAACTAAGCCTCCCAGCTTAGCTGTCTAGACTGCACTTCTAAGTCGCTCCCTGCGCCTTAGCACGTATCCGCTAGCCCTGTATCTCGACGAGCGCCATCTTACCGAGATAACCGGAGGAACCCTTGACGTTCCGTCAAGTCGCCGAACACCCTTAGCCTCAGTGGGCTCACTCGAGCCGTTGCTAAGAAGACCTATCCAAGTTCCCATACACCGACCGACGGTCAGCGTAACAGTGTAAGCCCCTGGGGCAGAGAAGAAGTGCAAGATGTCGAAAGACTGGGTATGGAGCTGCGAGTGAACCATGGTGCATGAAAGGGAGAGGTAGAGGGCAAGAGCAGCTGGTAGACTTGAGGATTGAGATGTCGGAGGGCCAAGAAAAAGGTGAAAAGGGTATGTGAAGGAGTGATGTGGGTCGAACAATAAATATGAAGAGAGAATTGGGAAAGAAAGATGAAGAGGGTATATGAAGCGGAGAAGGAAAGAGAAAGGTGGAAAGGGTAGACAAAGGAGCGACATAGGCTGGACAATGAGAGACAGCAGGACAGCGAGAGCGACTAAGAAACTGAGAACAGAGAGTTCAATCCAATCAGTGACAAAGACAATGAGAGATAATCGACCGTGACATGCAATAAGGGTCAGATGTGATGATGAAGAATCATTGGCACTTGAGGGAGGTCAAGCTGATAAAGAAGAGGAAGCCCAGGTGGGCAGGCATTTATACATTTGGGAGAGTCAGCCTCCCGTAATCAATGCTGGCTGACCTACGTTGTAATGTGTCATGGGCATGAGCCGGCATAAGTTGAGGAAGTTGATGATGCTGACAGGTAAGGACACGCCCACTCGTGTCAGCTTCCGGTCAGCCTCAAGTTCACAGAGGATTGGAGTCCGATACTTGTGGTTTGGACTGTCATTCGCGAGAGCAGTGAGATGGGGAGACCTATAAGGAGGAAGTTGACAGACAGATGTGTCACGTCATGCCACACGTCCCAGATCTTCAACATTAAGGTCTGTAACAAGAATTGCTAAAAAAAATCAGCGGGCACTTGTGAAACAGATATATTCCGCGTAGAATTAGGAATGACAGCATATTCTACTGCCTAGAAAGGCAGGGCATATATTTTACAGTATGTTTGTAAAAACAATAATAAGCTACAGCTGTTAGCATACCAAAGGTCAGCAGATTTGAGTGCGTCAAGAAAATGTGAACGTACTCTGAACAAGAACCCAAGCTAGATCACAAAGGTTCAATCAGCTGTATGCAATGGGACAGAATTTTAGTACTTGCATCTTCTGGTGTCAGTCGTCCCATCACCTAGATCGTAGTCAGCTCACATATTACAGTGACCTATCTCCATATAATACGAGGGAATGGATGTGCATAATATCCAGTATGATATGGGCCAGCGGACCATGGGCCCATGATAAAAATATCCTCGACTATGACGGATGGGCCGGGAGGGAAATTATTTCCGATGGAGGTGGGTGGGCCCATGCAGGGAATATATAGAGTAGATGAGTGGGCCAATGTACATGAATATTTGGTAGACGGATGGGCCGAGGTAGTTGGATATTATCCAGATGGGTGTATTAAGGTAGATGTGTATGAGATAGATGGGTAGGTACTTGTTATCACATTCACGGGTGGGCCCAGATGCATATTAAATTAGACGGGTGGGCCGAGGGTATTATAAAATATTGTATTAGACGGGTGGGCCCAGACGCATATTAATTAGACGGGTGGGCCGAGAGTGTTTTATAAAATATTTTATTAGATGGGTGGGCTGAGGGTGTTGTATGGGATATTGTATTAGACGGGTGGGCCGAGGGTGGTATAAAATATAGACGGGTGGGCCCATGTGTATCATAATTGTAGACATGACGGAGCTGAGGTAGTTGTACATCAACCAAATCAGAGGAGGTAATAAATGAAAGTTACCGAGTTCCCGGAGCAGCAGGTGATCTCTTGACATGGCCTTTGATGGTGCACAGGTTGTCTTGCAGAATGTGGAATCCAGGGTGCGAGGCTTGTGTTGCCTTACGAGACACCCACTTCCGACCACCAAAATTCTCCGAGTTCCGAGTTCCGGGACCTGGAACTCAACACATAATTTAGTTAATACTTTCTGTGTTAAATGGCCAACCAAAGTTGAGATGTTTCTGAAGAGAGCAGCAGGTGCTCTCTTGACATGGCCTTTGATGGCACGTAGGTTGTCTTGCAGAATGTGGAATCCCGGGTGCGAGGCTTGTGTTGCCCTACGAGAAGCCAAGTTCCGACCACCAAAATTTCAGTCAACCGTACCGAGTTCCGAGTTCTGGGACCCGGGAGTCGACAAATGAATATCTGATATCCAGCACACTTCCAATCAGGTAGTATTTCATTGAGCAATGGATGATAATACATCTTTGACAGCCAAAATTATCCCAGGCTCCCTTATCTGATCCTCACTATCTCCACCCCCTTCAACACCAAAGTCCGGACATCCAGCATTCAGTGTCTGATTTCCCAAGATCAACATCCAGCATGAACATTTCTTCCCCTTCCACTCCTGATAGCATAAACATCTGGCGCACTTGGGCCCTGACTGTCACTTATGAAGCAGGGGAATATACCGAACAGAAATTCAAGGCAGAGAAGACTGGAGGAGACCCAGTCATACCTTCTCCCAACCTAGACACTGATCTGGTGATGGCTGTGCGATCGCTTGGCTGATGTACTCATAAAGGCATATAAAAATCCCAGTGGGTCTTCCTGCAGATTCGGAAAATTCGTTTTATCATTCAAATTCCTGCATGACAGTTCAGATGCAGATGGATATTGCAAGATATAGCAAATTGATCTCCCCGAAGGACACCGGGCATAATGAACAGAGGGAGGCGAAGTTGCTTGAGAGGTGTCCTCCTGGCCATGAAGGCAAAAGGTTGGTCGACGAACCTGCCACAATTCTCGATGCATCCAGGTGCCATCATCGCATGGTACCTCCCAGACGCCCTGACCGACACCACCCAGGTGTGTAATATACATTGTTACTCAATGGATATTGAATATCAAATGGAACCTACAGAAGGAAATCAGGGAGGCCACCGATTTGCTCGCTCCAAGCCTCGAAAAAAGTGTAAGGGCTGATGGCAATTGGCGAACTAATCAAAAGTGGTTCAAACGGGGCTCGGACGATGTTGGCTCAACTCCCGGATGCATCAATTTATCTCCAGGCATGGTTTCAACAGGGACACGAGGTAGGATCTGATGAGATGGTGATTCTGGCAGTCATACTCACCAATCCCAAAGACTGTGTCCGATCCGGAGGTATCTGCATCATTGAAGGGACCTTCCTGCGAAGAATATCCTCAAAGCCATTGCAAGGCCAGCAGCCATCGCGTCCGCGGCACTCAGGGTCATGCATCCTGAGCAGTACTGGGCAGGGTTGCGAACCTTGTCAAACCTCGGACATATAGCAGTAAGCAAGGATCTGCCACAGATGCCGGAGGCCCTGCAGTACTGGGCATCCGTGTTTAACACCCTCTCTATCATTTCCAATCGGGAAACCCCCAATCATCGAGACCATTTGTCTATTGCTGAATGCTTCGACATTCTCACCACCTGTGGGAACTATTCTGATGCTCGGATGACAATGCCAAGCCTTCAGCTGGAGTTCAAGTACAATTCCGGCTGTATGATTGTGTTTTCCGGAAGGATTGTGAGACATGGAGTTTATGATGTGGAAGGGGATCGGATTGCTTGGGCATGGTATATGAGGGATTCTGTTCACATTTACGCTGGTGTTCCATCATGTGGATGGGCTAGTGTGGATGGTCCATACAGCGTGTGAAAGATCAAACAAAGAGCAAGCATTGTGACCTATATACATTCCAACAAATGAATACCATGTACCAATAGTTATCCGGACCTCAATACTCAATTTTGAGCATTTGCGAAGTGATATATGGGACTGAATAATTTGGATGCCAGCCTCGGTATTCGATAATTGGAACTCGGGACTTGACATATGGGAGTCCCGAGTGCCGGGGTACTGAGTCCCTGAAACCCGGAACTCGGCACTTGATATTTGAGACTGGGAGAAGATGTATAATATGCTTGAATTAACATTTGTTATTGCCGTACACATTTGACAGAACCTGAACCTCGACATTGTGGACTGCCCGGGTTTCAGGGTTTGGGACTCGACACTGTTCTAAATACCAAGTCCCGGAAGCCCTGGGTCCCGAGTCCCGAATGTTGGTGTTCGGGGTTCAGCGACCCGGAGCTTGGCAACCGTGTTGGGTGTCAGGGTATCTGGAACATTGGAGATCGCATGTGTCAGTGTCTCGTGTTTCATGGTTGGTGTCTGGTGATTCGGGAATCGGGCGTCAGGGACTCGGTATTCAGAACAGTGTCTAGTTCCGAGTCATGAGTCCTGAACCCCGAGCTCTGAGTCCCGAGTCCCGAACGTCAGGTTTCAGGGTTTGGGACTCGTGACTCATGACTAGACACTGTTCTGAATACCGAGTCCTGACGCCCGAATCACCAGACACCAACCATGAAACACAAAATACTGACACATGCGATCTCCAATGCTTCCCGATACCCTGACACCCAACACGGTTGCCGAGCTCCAGGGTCGCCGAACCCCGAACACCGAAATTCGGGACTCGGGACCCGGGCTTCCGGGACTCGGACGCGAGATTTTTGAATGCATAGAATATTTTACATCTTGTATACAATGAAGACTGAATGGGACTACACTCCTTTGCCTTCTCCTCAATTTCTCTAAGCATGTCAGTGTACATCTTCACCTCTGCCATCTTGGCTTGGATGCCATCATCTTGCTCCTCCATCAATGCTTCCATGTGTTCTTTAATCCACCTCAGTCCCATAAGTGGTGGAGTCGAAGTGTTTTTCAACTTCTCATGAAGAACCAAAGCATCATCCTCAACACTAAGCTAGAACAGATAAGTCATCAATCAAGGCAATTCAGCTAACATCTTACCGCCCAATACTGGTAGTGAGAGACGCAGGAAGCCATTATTTCATCCCACTGCCATGGACATGTATATTCAAACACAATCCGGGACGGATGTCCTGCAATTGCCTCATCATGAAATGCAAGGAGGTGGAATGAAAAGACATCATCCAGAACCGTGTTCCAGGTTAGCATGGGATACAACTTAAGGATATAAGCGACCAGGACCAGAAGAACCAACACAATATTCTGTGAAGCGGAGTACTGCAGAAGTGGTGTGACAAAGTCTGCTCAAATTCTTACCATTGACGAACACAGTCATCAGGGCAGCGGTAACATACATTCATCTCCCATTGCAGCCCTGCTTTAAAATACTTGATCCGGTCAGAAGATAGAACATTGTTGGCAGCTTCCGTCTGATATTGAGAGATGCATGCGCGGACGTGCGATCCAGCCATTGCCAATGTGCAGGAAATAGTTGCAAGGCTCAGCTTCAGGGGTCGGTAATGGCTTCCAGCATTCAGAGTGCCAGAAGTGGATGCAGGAGTTGCAGGCATGGCTAATACAGGACTATTGCGCTGGCAATGCAAGTGAAAGATGGTGAAGATGTGAAGATAAGAATCACTGATGGATGGATACGAAATTCAAACTCCGACATGGGCTGACCCGGACAATTCCCGGGCCTCAATTATGTATGTGGAAAAAGGGACTTCATGAGAAAACAATGTTCATTCATCTCCAGCCTCTATCAACACATTTTGTAGGTCTTGAAAAGCTGCCTGCGCATCCTGTGCGAGCAATGAATACATTTGGGATTGCCTTCCGGCATAGCATCCGTGACCTGGAAGGCGTTTCTCCAATGATTCCTGCATGTGGTCGCCCCATTGGGTTGCTTTCCACAAAAAGAACTTACATGTCCAATCCATCTCCAATTTGACCAATATCATTTCTTCCCTCCATCGATCTCATAGTGCCTTTGCCCTGAGCCAATGGACTCGGTAAACTTGGCATGGGTCCAGTCAGGTAACTGCGGGATATGACATGCAAGCAGGAACTCACATTCCTCATTCCACGATTGATCAGGACCCCCGAGGTCAACTTCAACAGACCAAAACCAAGCCAAAGATTCATTTCGTTGACCTCGGGCATTTGGGTCACCCACTGCAGTGCTGATTTTGAGTTGCTCGTGAAGCAGGGGTTTGTATTTCTGAAGCTGGTCTTGCCCCGGCTCAAGTTTCATCATTTGCTTCCTGGTCTTTGTATATATGCTGGCATGGAGGGAGACTGCCTGCTGCACCGATGTCACCTGGGACCAAGCTCAAGTTTTCAGGGCCTGGGATTTGGCCTGCCTAACGGTTGTTCGGAACAGGATGGCCTTGTTGCAAAGGTAAATGCGAAGATTGTGAAGGGCATCATTGGCCTGCCCTTCATGAAGCGACATCTCCAGGGGAATCAGATCCTCTGCCATGCATCATCTGCATCTATCAACCCCCAGGTTTGATGGCAATGGGATTACAGTGAGCTCGGGAGAGTTTGTCCATGTATGAGATGTCTCTGTGAAATCTGCCGGGTCATCATGGAGATCATCTAGAATGTCTACGTTCAAGTCCTCAGGTTCATCATCTGCATCAAATCCCTCCCCGAGATGTGTTAGAGCAGACCGAGCAAATCCATCTATCTGGCCTTGGAGCCGATCGCGTTGACGGGCGATGTCTAATCTCTGTGTCTCTGTGGATCTTCTTCCGATCCTTCGGACCTCGATGAGCAATGCAATCTGAGCCTCTTCAATTGCTAACCCTGTTGATATCCACAGTCGCCACAGATCTGCGAGAGGGTGCTGCATTGCGGGCGTTACCCTCCTCTAATAATCTAAGCTCGATCTCCTTTTTGCTAGGTGCTGAGTGCAATATTAATTCAGACCTCGATGGAGACAATGGAACTCAATGTACCCTTTTTTATATTGATCTCATATTCATCCATCGCCGAAGGATCATTCAATCTGCTTGACTGAGCTATCCTCTCCCTGGCTAACCATTCTGTCTTCAAATGTGAGGGTGCTGCTTCATCGAGTCTGTCAAATGCCTTTCCACTTTCCGAGATGCCATTCCTCGCCAGCTTGTATTTCCGGCATAGAGTCCTTTTCATGCGAATCATCTTGCAGAAATTGGAGTCATTCATCTGATAATCAAGGCATTCCTTTCGGTGGGGAGATGACATTCCCTGAGCAGCAGGGGAGATCAGATTGAGCCATGCCCATAGCGTCTCCATGATCTCTCCATCGATCCGACCAATGCCTTCAATAAAGTTAGAAGCATATTGCACATAGCAGCTGTCCTGATGGCCATGAACGTGCCACAACCCAATTCCGGGAATGATGGTTAGTTGTGGTGCCATTTCTAGAAATCAACTTCGATCCACCCGAACCCGAAAGTGTTTGTTGTATTGACAATTAATATCATAGAAGGTGACAGCCCTGGTGATGCCTTCCATGTTGTGCCGGGAAGCCTCGCAAAGGGCGTAGTCCATGTTCATTTGTCTGCAAGTGACCCATGGTTAACTCGTGAATGCTTAATGGTGGATGTGGCTTGCCTTTCGCCTTTCTGAAAATCCACCATGGAGTGAGGGACAAAGCAACCGTGTCTGGCACAGGCAACTCCCCCGATACCGGTGGACTCCAGCTTGTGCTGAGCAGCATTAGCTTGATTTACTGCCCGGTGGTTGTTGCAGCTTGATTTTTCCACCGTGTCAGCAGCCTCTGCCAGATGCATTTTATACCTGTCCTTTCCTACCATGAATCCAAGCCCATCGGACAGCCAAACTTCATCGAATGGCTTAATGGGATGCAGATGTTTGGCTTTGAAATTTCCGTCCATCACAAATGACCGGGTGTATTTCCAGCTTGGAACACTAGTATTATTGTGGAGGCCACATTGGTTGCTAATAGGACTCACTCATCAAGTGATTCATCCTCTGACAACAGCACATTAATACCAGGCTGAGGACATGCAGGGCAAAATAATGCGAGTTCTCCTGTGCTCGGGTTATCGGAACGATGGCCAAAGCCATGCCATTTCATTGTCTTCAACTGCCTCCACTGTCGAGCGACCCTCATGAGCTCTCTGTATCAGTCCTTGCCATGTGCTTTGTCAATATGATGTCCAGTAGATGAAGAGGGTAAGGCATTACTGGAACAAGGTGTGGAAACATGCTCGAGGTCATTCACTGGAGCTTGCTGTAATAGTTCATCGCAGAGGTGCCGCATTCAAGGCTGTCCAGTAGAAAATCATTGAGCACTCTGAAGGTGAACACAGTCTTCGGCCTGTTGAAAGATGCAGGGAAAAATCTGTGTCGAAACATTTGAATGTCCGGACTCATGGCATTCGGACAATCACAGCATCGAACCTCCAGGCGATGAATTCCGGACTTGTCGACAATGACCATGGTGTTTTCCTTCAGCTGGAACTCGGGTCCGGACACAAATGGCAGATCTTCAGGCTCGAGCAGGTCTTCAGGTTCATCTTCTTCGAACAAATTTCACTGATCTGTGACCGCCGGACATTGTTTGCCATCATGGCCAAGGTGTATGATGAGTCCCACATGAGCGAGACAACTCTGCTCGAAGAATTGCCCATTCCATTGACTGATCCAGTGGAAAGGATTGCTACAATGTTGACTCCTGCAACAGCCGGTGCAATAGAGTGGCTCACCAAGACAATCTTGACATTTGTACACCCCATCCTGTTGGCAGATGATGCATCTCCTGTCTTCTGGTGGAGCTTCTTGATCAAGGAGGTGATGTAGATACGATTCCTGCCTTGGCAGCCATTGCCTGAGGTAGTCATTTTGACTCTGTATTTTTGAATGTTTAGCCATAGTTTGAATGACACTCCAACATTGTACATGAACTTGCCATGGTTTTTGGGAGTTGCAAAGGCTCAAATGAGTCTTGGTCCTGCTCGTAAGTATTGTCAGGAAAGTCTTCCCAAGGAGGTTGTGCCTCAACAGGCTGAATTGTTGGTGATTCTGGGGAGAGTTAGGCATGGACCTGTAGGCATGTCGCCTTGTGCTTGCAAGTGGGACCTTGACCCAAGTCTTCCTACCTTTGCTGCCCCTTGCTTCCACCCTGTGAGATTTTTGCACTGGGGTGCATCTACCTATCTTCATCTTGTTTACTAATGTTGCAAGCAAGGCATCAGCTCAGGTGTAATGAATTGTTATTGCTGTTACGACAAACGGTCGTGTGCGACTAGGATAATCTAACAGCGACAACCACGACAGTGGTACCGAGTGCTGAGAGTCGTCAGCCTTTACAAACAAGCAAAGGTTGCGTACTCGAACGTAGCTCGTGGTGGTTAACGAGGGGTTACGCTGAGATGATAGCAGGGTTTACAGACAGTGAGAGGCATCACTGAAGGTGCGAGTCGATGTCGAGCAGGTAGCTTTAGCGGGACAAGGAGTTCAAGGGTAAACCTAGTAAGATTAAAGTAAGGAATGTCTACTTGTAATCTTCGACCTTATATAAGGCTACTCGTCGTATCTAAGCTCAGCCTAAAGCTGGGTTCTAATCTGCTTATCTACATGTGTCAGAGATAGTGTCCATGAGGCGGGCTTCTATCGTAGATAGCGTCCATGCGGTACGCTTCTATCAGAGATAGGATCCATGTGGTATCCTTCTATCAGTCCATGAGGCAGTACGTGACTTGCCTTCTATCTTGATATCATTAATAGGTCTTCTAGACCTATGTCGTCATGTATCGTCACGTGCGGTCCAGACCGCTTATCTAAGCCGGCAGTTGCCGCTTATCGTCTATCGTCATCTATCATCATCTGTCGTCACAGAGCTAGTGAGGCTCCGGTATCGTCTATAGCCGTGCGGGTGGCAGAGGGCTTTCTGCTGGCGGGGGACTCGTGCCATGTTACTGTAACAATTGCAATATGATGCTGTGCAGTCCTGTTGGCTCATTACAAATTCATTTCCATTAATGGCTTCGCGTCCAATATGGGCCGATTAATTTATCATTAGGCTTTGCTCGAAGTTCAACTTCGCACAATTCATTAATACTTCTACCTTGCAAATCCTTAGCCCGTTCAGCATTCTGATTCACTATGGCAAGAACAGGTCATTCCACCAACACGACTTCAGGAAGACACAGGGTGCATCAACCACAGTCACAGAAGCTCACGGACAAGGAGATTTTGGAGTTGAAGAACTACCTTCCTGAGTGGACTGCAGCCAAAAGGAGTGAGAAGCGAGGGATTTTCACTGCCATAGCAAGGGCAGCCAGGTTGTTTGCTCCTAAGGTGGACTAAAAACAATGAAAAAAGAGGAAGCAGGTGATGCTTCTTTGTTGTGTTGAAAAACTAAATTTTTAACATCACATTCTTTCATCAACTCTTAGGTGTACAAGACTTGGTTGTTCAACAACAAGAAAAAGAAGGAAAGGAAGGACACCCAGGATGGTGGTCTACCAGCAGAAACATGAAGAGGTGCTGAAGAGGATTGAGGATGAGTCTGGGGTAAAGCCAGGAGATCCTGGTATGTTCAAACATTATCAGGCGGCGGTGAAGAGAGTCATGGCTGAATTGAATGACAACGAGTTGGAGAAGGTGAAAGAAACAGCGGAAGAGTGGTCCAACAACTGTCCACCTCCGGAGATACAAGCACAAGTAGCTCGTAAGAAGGGTCCAGCATATATGGAGCACTTTTTGAACGAGATGTGGAGGCAATGTGGGATGAGAGTTTTTGTGATGTCGGCTTGGAAGAATGAAAAGGGAGAGGTGCTGTTCGGGATGTGAGTACATTTCCCCATTGATGCAGATCTTTCATCTCAAAATATTCATGCAGGCATGATGATAATGAGGCCTTAGGAGATGGGGACAGCTTCATGAAGATGAAGGACTGGGAGGACATTGAGCCAGTGTGGCAGGAGTACGCACAGGAACAGTTCGGTGAGTGTTTGAACCATGTATACCAGATTGAACATGTTGAGCATCACGATGATAGGCGCCGGGGCACGGGATGGAGGACGTCAGGTCAAGGGAGGTCGAAAAAGAATTTGAAAACCAGCTTTCGAACTCGAAATGGACAGGGAAGGTATGCCGTTCCTTCCGGACATCACGGACACGAAACTTGAGGAGAAGAAGGCCATAGTGAGGGCCTTTCTTACATCACACTATCGTGAGTTTCTCGTCGCATCATCCGACAAATTGTTCAATGCATGGACACAGGGATATGTTCTGGGAAGGACAAGGCGGTTGTGCCATAAAGTGCCATCATACAAAGTCAGGATGACTTCGTGGCCCGGATGTATCTTCCGGCAGATGTTGACTTGAAGGAGCCTTCGAAGCTGCAAAATTGGGACACGACTGCCTTGCTCCACTTCTGGCGTGCTCGGCAGGAAACAGGCGAAGGTCCCACATTTCTGTTCAAAGCATGGAAGAACAAAGATGGGGACATGGTACCATCTGTCATATCTGGCAACTTGCCCTCTCCTCAGACTTGTATAGTGAGAAGGCAGCAGAGGATTACCATCCGAAGGTCTCGGGATTCATCAACAGAAGCCGAGAGTGATAAGGAGAGTGCCACTCAACATACGGAGGATGATGTGGATGATGACATGGCTGACGGGAGACATCCGCTGAAGAAACCCAGAACAGGAGGTCCTACACCCAAAGGGATGGCAGTCCCACATGCAATTCCAAAGCCTCGCCCTGCCAAACCGGCCAAAAAAGGTGCATTACTGACATCATGAATGGGTGACCTCCTTGCTGGGTTAACTGAAGACACGACCGGCGAGGTTAGAGATGCTGTTGAAATGGAAGAGAGTATCACACCACTGGCACAAAAAAGGAGGCAGGGCAAGAAAGTCACAGTTGAACCATCCACCAGGATGACGCGGAGTAAGTTGCAAATGCCAGTAGACAGTACACCTAGAGTAACCAGAGCACGGGGACGCACTTAATGTAGATATATCATCCTGCCCTCATGTTTACTGTCATATGTGCTATTGTGTATATGTCAAAGTACCAACGACCGAATCCCAAATCCCAAATCTCGAGTACCAAGGCCTGAGTACCAAACCCCAAGCACCGAGCACCAAGTACCAAGCACCGAACACCGGGCACCGAGTACTGAGTAGGTAGAGTATACAAGTACCAAGTGCTAAGTACTGAGTAGGTAAAGTATACTGCAATGTGTCTACTATCAGACATTGATTGATATTTACATGTTACTTGAGTCCTCAAAGAAGTCAATGAGGGTATCTAATACCTTCAGCATTTCGGAGGTTGACTCCCTTACCCTTTGCATCCTCCGGAGATCCGCATCTGCTTTCCGCAGTTTGTCGCATGTTTCAGCCCATGCCATCCTGAATGGTCTGTCAGCCTCAAGAAGTTGTGCTACTGTAGGGTCAGGAAGATTTCCATGACGCTGTTGGTAATCACCCAGGCGATCTACAATTGTTTGAACTTGCAGAAAATTAGCAGAGATAAATGATCAACTGTTGTATACTTACTTTCAGCTTGATCATAAGATCCGATTGGCATGAACTCCCAAACCATGGCACTCAGTGCTTCATTGTTGAGTTCCGGCTCGGGCGATTGATGTTCAGGAGTTGCTGAATTCGCTTGGGACATAACATGAATAGAACACATGACATGATATGAATACACATACAAGGGATGGGTGCCTCTGGTACAGCCGGACTGGCCGGATGAGGTTCGGGAGTCGATTCATTCACTTGGGAAATGCCATGAAAAATGAACATGAGATGGAAAGAATAAACTCACCAGTCATTGGTAAATCGGGTACAGCCGGAGCATCATCAGACTCAATCAAGGTATCCTCTGGACCAAGATACAAGTCCGTGTCGTCGTACAAGGCGAGTCCATCTGCCAGGGCCAGATATGATGGATCTGGAAGTATGTGATGAATTTGCACATGTAGAATATGTACATTTGAATTGAGAAACATACCGGGAATCACATTCAATGCATCTGAACCACCGGATGACCCAGAATCAGAGTCTAACTCATCATCCGGCCCAAGGTATATATCATCTAATGCATCTAAAACATGTTTGATCAATTGAATGAAATCACAAAAACAAAACATACCAAGGGACATCCGGGAGTTGGAGGACTCATCCACATCCATTGAGGTGGATTCAGTGACTGGAGGGTCATGAAATCTGACCCCAGATTGAGAGCTCATGATATCTGATGAGCTGATGAACTGATTGATAACTGATAACCTCAAAGTTCAACACATGGCTGGCGATTGCCGAAAGTTGAACCACAACCAAACAAAGACAAACAATCAATGATTTTCAACATCGTCCTTCAATTGTATTGTTTCTTTGAAACTTCATCCTAGTGATAAAAGATTTCACCCTGCTTTTGACATTCTCACATCTCTCAACTCAATCCAAATGTCTACTCCAGTTCAATCTTCATTGGCCGACCTCAAGGCATCCACTGCTCAGCTTGTGGGCATCATTGCCGGCGCTCGGCACATCCCGGCCGGCACAGTGGATGTCCACCTTGCTCTGACAAAACAGGTCACCACTCTTTTGGTAAGTAGCACTCATTAAATTATTTTACCATTAATGTTTCTAATATCCAGGTAGGGTGACATCATCCGGGCGCATGAGAAAGGAGATTACATCCCTGGCATTGTGGCTTCCTGTTCCAAGGAGCTGATGATGGTGCGTTCCAGGACTCCCCGGGTGTTGCCCGACTGGCACAGCATTGGCCATGATGACCCCCGGGTGTCGAGACACACCTGGCGCAAGCAGGTTTGCGCCTGGGAGGCGTTGGGTGACAATTCCTGTGATCTCCCTGTTGTTCCTAATCCTTCCACTGGCCCACTGACTGTCAACCTTCCGTCTCCACCTGTCCCTTCCCCCACACCTGTCCTTCCCTCCCCTCCCATCGTCGCAGGCAATGTCGCTGGTTCGTCCGGCAAGATGACCTCCGAGTTCCGGGACAAAGGAAAAGGTAAGGCGGTTGCTGTTGACCTTGAGCCGGAAGTCAGAGGGAGCAGCAAGAGGAAGTCTCCCATGATTTCTGGACACTCCTCCCAACCTCTGAAGTCGGCGATGAAGAGTTGCAAGCGGGTCAAGTCAACTCGACTCACCAAGTCGAAGCTGTTTGTGGAGTCGGAAGATGATGAAGAAACAATTGTTCAGGTATGTGGTCTGGCTCATTTGTGTCATGCTCTCAATTTGTTGCAGCCGATTTCGCGTGGAGTGCCGGAGGTCGTCCTTCCCCAGCTCTCCACCATTGTTGTAAGGACGCCCCAGTTGCCTCGGTCACCTGGTTCCCCCAAGAAGCAATCATTTGGGCCTGCTTCGGTAAGTCTGATTTATCCGTCCGGAACTCAAATATATGCTCATGTGTCCACAGCTGACTGTCGGCAGTCGTCCGGAGGTCATGATGAGTGGTTTGGACTTGTCCGGAACTCACATGTATCATTTTCACTCATGCCCATTGCATTAGAAATCTCCCATCAGTTGTCCGGAGGCTTGGGTAAGTCTTAGCAGTTCGCCCGGAACTCACATGTATACTAACAATCTGTCAGGCAACCTCTGGCAGTCGTCCGGAAGTTGATGAGTCCTCTGATGATACTTCCAGCACTTCGGATGGTGAACCTCCGTCCAATCCCACATTTGATATCACCATTCCCGGCCCAGTGAGTACTCCAATTAATTCCCATTAGTCCATCCACTAACTGATCTTACAGAACAACCCCTGCCATTATTGCATCAAGGAGGATTGGCCCTGCGCAACTCATTTGGACAAGAGGTCCGGCCACCCCTGCTTGTCTTGCATCCGCTGCTCCACCAAGAAGATCAAATGCAACCCTGCATCTCTGGGATCCCCGCCCAAACACACCCTAGGGAAGTCTACCACCAGTCGGACGCATTCCAAGACACCTGCCCTTGCTCCATCCAATGCTCTGTCTCCCTCGCAGTCAAGGGCCTGAACTCATAGTCAATCTTGTGGCCCGTCCACACTCCGGCCATCCCTGCTGCAACTACACCCCAGGTGCAGTCACGTGGTCGCAGCAAGACCATTACTGCCAAGAAGACACCTGCACCTGCACCTGCATCTGCGCCAGCTTGTAAGTCACCCAAAGTTTTAATGACCAGCTGACCTTATTTTTACTTAGCTGTTCCTTCTTTGAGCTTCGCATTGCCTCGTGCAGCACTCGATGTTCCCATGCCGGATCTCCATTCCATGGCAATCACAATTCGGGATGGTGCAGCTCACATCACCATTCTCGAGGCTCATGTGCTGGAGCAGGATGGTAAGATTGATACCCTGCAACGCCTCCATGAGAGCCTCCGGTGCATGGTGGTCGACCGGCACCCTTCATTTTCACTTCCGGACACACCTGCCGATGCAACAATCTTGCTTGATCAATCCTTTCCCCCCGTCCATGTCACCCCTCCCCTCCACACTTTCTAACCTCATTGATTTGGACATGTCAGTCATGGAACCCACACCCTTGATGGTTGAGGATGGATCTGCTATGGTAGGTCTCATGGTTGAGCCCACTCAAGTTCAGCCTGAGGGTCCACAATCCTCCGGTGAGATTGTGGTCCTGGATGAACCAGGCAACCTCTTGCCAGAATATGATTCTTCTGATGAGGAGATAGATGTTGAGGTGAAGGTTGATCGTCCTGCTGAGGAGGTTGAAATGGCTACATAATTGCTCAGTGATAGATGTACATAAATCTTTTTCAATGCATGTTACCTATGCCACAATCTAATGATTTAATTATTGAGTTCTAATATCTAGAACTCGAAACTGTAGATTGAGGTAGATATCACCTGAAACCCAAACACCCTAATGTCAAATTTTTACAGTGCCGAACCCCAAGTGCCGGGTGCCAGGTGCCAAGTCCTGAAACCCGGAACTCAGGACTTGACATTTGAAATGAAAGACATTTTTGAGACATGTTTGAATCAACCTACATATATCCATAAACATTTGACTAACCCCCGAACCCCGAAAGATATCTTTGTCCAGTCTCACATATCGAGTCCCGAGTTCCGGGACCCCCAAACCCCGAAACCTGGCAGTCCACAATTTCGGGGTTCGGGGGTTGGTAAAATGTTTATGGATATACAAAAGGTTGATTCAAACATTTTTGAAAAATGTCTCATCTCAAATGTCAAGTCCCGAGTTTCGGGTTTCGGGACTTGGCACCCGGCACCCGGCACTCGGGGTTCGGGGGTCAAAAAATGTGTATGGATATATGAGTATTTTCCACGTTCCGGGTTTCAGGACTATTTTTCAAAAATGTTTGAATGAACCTTTCATATATCCATAAACATTTTACCAACCCCTGAACCCCGAAATTGTGGACTGCTGGGTTTCGGGGTTCGGGGGTCCCGGAACTCGGGACTCGATATGTGAGACTGGACAAAGATATCTTTCAAAAATGTGTAAGTCAATGTGTTTGTAAATCAAATTGATTGTAAATCAAATTTTATTGATCTCCCCAAATTTCCCAAGTCCCGAGTGCCCACCCCCGAGACCCGGCAGTCCACAATTTCAGGGTTTGGGGGTTGGTAAAATCTCAGGGTTCGGGGTTTGGCACTGTGAAAATTTGACATTTATATTTTTGCGAGTGTTGTGCTTCTGGTGTCCATGCTTAGAAATAGGATATGTTGCACACCAGGGTTCAGGTGTGGGGTTTTTCCACTTCAGTACTCAATTATTGGTCAATGCCACACATGGTCGATTCATGTTTTCGTGCTTAGGGGTTTAGATTTCGGTGGTCGATGGTAGGTATATGCACTCATAGTGTGCATGTATCCTACGTGTTTGATTCGCTGGTGGCTACATCAGCTGTATGTCTTGATGAAACGTATCTAGGCTCACCCATATATGTACCCATCTATGTACAATTCCCCCACGTCAGCCCACCCATCTATGTAATATCCCCCACGTCAGCCCACCCATCTATGTAATATCCCCCATGTCAGCCCACCCGTCTATGTAATACATCCTATGTTGGCCCACCCATCTATATAATACATCCTACGTCGGCCCACCCGTCTATTTGATATCCCTTTTGTCGGCCCACCCGTATATGTAATACACCCCACATCGGCCCACCCGTATATGTAATACACCCCACGTCAGCCCACCCATCTATGTAATATTCCCCTACCTCGGCCCACCCATCTATATAACAATATTTGCCTTACATCTCTCTTCAGCCCAGCTGTCTATAATATCCTACTCTACATATTACCCAGATGGGCCCACCCATCTCCATGAATGATCATATTCCCCCGGCCCATCCGTCAACATCAAGGATATATATATCATTGGCATACATGGGCCCACCCGTCTCCATCGGAAATAATATGTTTCCCGGCCCATCCATCATCATCGAGGATATACACAACATGGGCCCATAATCCGCTGGCCCATCTGATACGGGATATTATGTAGGTCGGGTGGCCCGTAAAATACAGAATTTGTCACTGAAGGGGCTCGTCAGCTCTCATATTTGTGTCAGCCACCAACTACAAGTACTCACAGAATTGTCAGTAGAGAGCGTGGCATCCACCATCACTGATTTCTTCTCTTGCAATTGTGTGATCTGACTTTCAATGCTATCTTCGATGATGAGTTTGATGGCCTTAACAGGACGGTATTGTCCGAGATGGTGAATGCGGTCCATAGCTTCTGCAGTGGAAATCATCAAGTGTTACAGGTACATCGAGTCAATTCACGTATAGTATTCAACCTAGAACAACAGGAGTCAGCTGAGAATGAGAACATAAATACATAAAACTTACCGCAGGATTCCACCAACTATCCATGAGATACACTCGAGATGCTTCAGTCAAGTTCAATGCCACTCCACCAGCTTTCAAGCTGACAAGAAATACAGTAACACTAAGATTGTTCACTGAGGAAACATGTTAGAAAATACAACCTATACATTCAGATTATCATCCAACATACTGAAGTGCTGAATGGTCACATCGCGAGCCTGAGGGCTCATGGTTCCCTCAAGTCGACAAATCTATCAGATATTTTGGTGTCAGCATTTTATTCAGTGAAAATCCTGGAACCATGCGCACTTCAAAACCCACCTTTTGTAACCTAAGGGTGATCAAGTCCAAAAAGTTGACAAATTGGCTGAACACGATGCTTTTAGTCATGCTGTCCTGCAAGTGAAGATTAGAAAGCTCCTCAACAAGTGCCTCAATCTTGGAGGAAGACCACCAAGTCTTTATATGGAGTCGCCCCAGGATTCCTTGTCGTGCAGAAGGAGTGTTTGCTTCAAGTTTGAGCGCCGGAGCCTCGAGGTCAATGGTAAGAGCAACGTGGCAAACAGGACAGTCGGGCTTAGATAAATTCAGTGCCCAAAAAAACATCGATGGGGTGAAAAACTGACTGTCATGTCTCTGGCTGTACTCAGATACTGTTTCATGCACTCCCGGTCGAATATATGGCGACATTTGGCCTGGATAGCATCCTCCATAACATCACTGCAGAGTCTACAAATTGTGGCTTCACCAGCCTCATCAGAGCCCAAGAACTGGGTTCCATTAGTCTTGCTGTGGAGCACAAGGTCTGGGTGACAAGCCATTTGCCTCATGCGAGTAAGCCTACAGGAACTTTAGAATCATACGGGTGAGAACGCAAAGGACTTACAAACTGAAGATATTGGAATAGTCTGATGGAATAGTGTCAATGGTTGGATCCAACTTTCAGAAAAGGTGATCTCACTATTCAAAACCGTTCCAGAGTCAATGTATGTACTGAACTGGTGTTTCGCGTCTGAGAAGAGCGAAAGATAAAGCTCTTTTTCTTCGAGACTGAAGTAGTCCCGTCACACGATCACCATATGAGGAGGTAAGTCCAAGTCATCAGCTCATTGAATCTGCAGTAGTGATTTAATTTTGAATATAAGAACAAAATAATAAATCTGACCTTTGTTCTACACAGCATCATTCGATCAAGGGGGATGCGTAACTTCTGAAAAGCAATCTTTCCTGGGCCCTTGATACCATGTTTCTGGATAGGTGTCAAGATCTCGTTATTCCAGAAGCAGGTCTAAATGACACTAGTTAGCAGAGTGTGCAAACTGTGATGGCAACTTACATGTTGCATTGGGCTGTGATCACAATCTATTGTAAAATATATGAAATGGGTGTCGGGAGTTGGAGCACAGAAGCTTACCATCACAATGCTTTGTATCTGTAAACTTCCAATGAAGCGATTTACAATCACATTTCTTACCTATCATGTTAATAATATCAATAACTCAAATGACGAATGCAGAGACGTGTGATGCACAGAAATAAAAAGAGAATAGATCAACCCCCAGGAAATGAACTAGACTGTAGAGCTCTCCCACACGATTCTGCAGGGGCATTCCAGATAGACACCATTTGTAATTGCTCTGAAGCTCAAAGGATGCCTTGGCAGTATTGGTTTGGCGGTCTTTAATGTTGTGCGCTTTGTCAAGCTGTTAAAAAATCATCAGCAACGGTAAAGTTATCAAAACAAGGTGATTGTACAATGATATGGTTCCATTTAATCTGGTGAAGAGGCAAAGGTTCCTTCACAATAAGCCCTTTCCGCTTAAAACCACTCTGCTGCTTCCTAAAGCAACTCTCCATGACAGCATAAGTAGTGAGCACCTGGGTTGTGTTAATATTGAGATGGGGGCATAGAGCGTTTTGAAACTGGAACTAACAACATCATATTTCTCCAATTCCTTGGGGTTGTTGACACGAGATGCACCATGCCATACCAAGACATCCATCCCCTCTGTGTGAGTGTCAATCTCATTGCGCCATTGCATTAGAGCAACAGTTGGCCTGTGTAACGTGTGATTAGGACATGACAACACAATGGAATGGTGGAAACATACGCGACCACAATATTCGGATGCTTCAGGTCCGACACAAAGAGGGATATAATCTGAATAGTCTTACCCATACTATGAGGGGCGGATTCAATCCTGTATATGCTGAGAGTTTAAAAAACCTACCCCATCTTGTCGGCTAGCATGCCACCATGCCAGATCCCCTGCTCTTGCTTAAGCATCCAAAAGAGTGATTCCTGCTGAAATGGAAGCAATGTGACCTTCAAACCGGCAGGCTGTTCAGCTCTCTCCGGTATAACAATAGGGATGCTGGACTGGACATCACCCCAGACGTCTTTGAGTTCAGGGTGATGCCTCTTGAGTGCCAAAAAAAAATTCTTGGCCTGCGCTTACAATTAAGGTAAATATTCCAGCAGAAAAAGGTCACCGTACCCAAGTAAGCTTTTGACCAAGCGATCGCTTCAATGTGTCTTCCTCTAACTTGTTGGCCCTTCTTTCAGCCTCTTGCAGGTAGCGCCACTGGGCCTGCCCCACCCAAGTCATGGGTTTGATGACATTAGAATGATCTTTACCTTTGGTAAGGTGGCGTTCAACAGCAGCAGCCTTCTTGGTAATCTGGAGGCTTTGTGGTGCAACATTGGCTCTGGAAGAAGAGCCAACTCCTGAGGATTGTTGAGCAGCAAGTTGTGCTGTTTCATGGGACAACTCAATGGCAGCAGCAACCATCAACTCTTTGTCACCTTCTGACTCGTGGCCCTCAGAACCCAAGACGATGTCAGAGAATCATTCCCAATTCTTTGAGGGGAGAGGGGCATTGTCATCCAACTCGTTATATTCTTCATTGCTGTATTTAATGTCTTTGAGGTCCTCATACAATGATAGCACTTAGTATGCAGCTCAACAGAAATAAAGACTGCATTTTCACCTTTGAGTTCAAGTTTGAATCTTTGATGGGTATCTCAACACAAAAAGTCTTGTGGGTAACTTTCTGTTTGGTTGGGACTGGTCTAGCCGAAAAGTCTTCGTCTTCATCTTCTGCAGGGCGCTTCCGTGTATTCATAAGGGTTGTTCCAAGTGACCTTGTTGCAACTTTCATAACTACTGGTTCCTTGCTGACGTCGGAGGTGTCAAAGGTTTCGGGTACCGCAGAATTTTGGCTGCTAAACAGGGGAGAGCTTGGAGTGCCTGTGGTCGTGGTTGCAGGCGTCCAAACAGTGCCATATCTTCCCATACTGACCATGATAACAGTGTTTAGGTGGGAGAACAGAAACAAAAGGTGATCCCATCGCGACCAGAGCAAAAGAACTTCGGCGAGAATGCAGTATTTTGCCCAAATCAGTAATGTCACATAGGCACGTGTGTTGATCATGTGCAAAAAAAGGATAATCACAACTCTCCGAAATGTGCACCTGTACGAGCCAACAAGGGCAGCCTGGTTTCAGCCACTACTAGTGGTGCTAAAGGTACACGCAAGAGTTGCAAAAATTGAACCTAATTTAGTCAATGCAGAGAGGAGCCAAAATACTATTTTCTAATGTAAGTCTACCAACCAAAGATAAGATGAGATGGAATTTGCTCACCCAAATGATGCTGCCTGGGATTGACCAGACAAGCTTCCATACTGCAGTTACAGACAAGACGCCCAGGATGACGTGAAATGTAGTGGACCACGATGCCTTCCCAACGTGTTTATGGTGAGTACAGGACGTATATTGAAGAAGCACGACTACGATTAGGCGGTGGTACAGCAAGGACATCACTGCAGTTAAGTAAAAGGGAAATTTTGGAAAGGGTGTCGCATGAGTGCATAGATCTGAGTCATGGCATAACGTGAAATTGTAGTAGGTACCTGATCTTCATCTGTAGCATAACATACCAAAATGGCCCTCAACACGCTCTCCTGCTCTTTTGGGTAATGTCACCGAGCTCCTCCAACTTGTGCTTTGTGCGAAGAAGTGTGCCATGCTAATGAATACATCAGTTCAACACTTAAACGAGTACACTATGACACTCACTCATTTCTTCGTCAATTTTCTTGACTTCTTATCCTGGATATTCATCACATATTTAAGAACTTGACTGGCATACCAAAAGATCAACACACCTTCGCATTTCTCAACAACTCAAGTGCCTGATGCTCATATGACGCAAAGCCAGAAACTTCCCATGCGACAGACCACACAAACTTGTTTTTTGTCGATTGAATGCCCTTGCGGTGGTTGGGGTGTGTGGTCCTAGGAATGGCAGTGGTGGGATAGCCCTTGTTCAAACGTTCAGGCCTTGGCGCATGTTACAGGCATCCGTAACACCTACAGGAGCCCCTGCTCTGCCTACGCCAGCCCCCGCCCTGCTAGACTCTGAATGCGGCGGAACACCACCTGCACTTAGAAAGACAGCGGTCTGGACCGCTGTGACGCCGCCCCTGGCGCTATGACCCACCCCTGGCCTAGACAGCCTTGTACCTGATCCATGGAGGCTGTACGCCTCATGGTCACCCTAGATCAAGCGCATGTATACAGCATGTCGCTTCATGTAGATCCAGAGCGCCCTTGGCGCCTCATGTACTTATGCACAGTCGCACTTGGCGCTGCATGCTTGATCAGAGGTTAAGCCTCATGTACCCTATCTGACCTCATGTCTTGTTATCATAGATCCTAGATATACTATGGATTACAGACTGAGCTAGAATACCTATATGTAGCACATATAAGTAGACAGATTATTGTACTTAGACTTTACTTTAATCTACTAGGTTCATCCCAGAACTTGTTCAACTAAGTCTTCCAACTTGGTTGTCTAAGACCGCACTTCTAAGTCGCTCCCCACTTCTTAGCCGTATCTGCTAGCCCTGTATCTCGACGAGTGCCGTCTTACCGAGATCACCGGAGGAACCCTTGACGTTCTGTCAAGCCGAGAACCACCCTCAGCTTCAGTAGACTCACTTGAGTCGTCACTGAGAAGACCTATCCTAGTTCGCACACGCCGACCGACGGTCAGCGTAACAGCGCATGTCTATGTTAACATTCGCAATGAGCAGACTAGAGACTCAACTAAGTTACTCACTGCTTTGTGCCATTTTCTTGATCTGGCTAGGGTTCCGTGGAAAACTCGGCTCAGGGTTTATGTAATGTTTTTAACTCAGACCTATCCTCAAAGGGTTTTTCACACAAGTGCTTTTGACAAGTTTGTTACAGTCTAGAAACCGGCTATTCTGAGTATTCTAACATATTGAGCTATGACAAAGAACTCAACACCACTAGGGGGGATATGTCGTGTCTCAAGGCATGCATTTCTCCCTCAGCGACAAGTGCACCCCGGTTTGATCAAAATTGTGAATTTGTTTGTTTCTAAAGGTCTTGCCAAACATCCTCTTTTAATCGATTATGTAATAAGATCATGGATTGGATGCTCGATGCTCGAGTCTCAAGTTTTTCAGTTCAGAAGCAAGATTTATCTTCATAGATAAACATATTGGACCGCATAAACCGATTCATGCCACTTGGCTTATTTTCACTCCCTTAAACTGAGCAGGGCGAATGACGATGGTGATGAAATATATGACAAAAATTTATTCTAATGCCAAGTAACGAAAGGGCGGACACAGAGAGACCCATCATTACAATTGCGCCATGATCCAAGGATCCACATGGCAACTGGTAGAGATTCAATTAGATCTCAATAAAGTGTAGCATTTCCAGAACTTACATTATGATGTTGATCGTTTCTCTGAGTTGTGGATAAACAATATCCCAGCTAGTTACTAGCTCAGATGTGACCAAGATCACCTCCTCGAAGAAATTGGTAGCTTCCGTGCTGTCAGCTAAGTCTGAACTGTAAAAAGGATCAAATGCCCGAATAGCAGCCCAGTTCCAGTTTTCACTGAAGGCGTGTTGCAACTGAGGGTCAATTCAGTTAGTTACTGGATGAATGAAAGACTACTGTATGCACCGTAACAATGGCGCATCCTAGCATGTACCTAAGATTAACGAGCCCTGGCCCACTATTGAGGACTCGAGGGCCTGCCTGGTGGTTGGTAATCTCATAGCATATGGCATCAGCATAGTTGTGGGAAAGAAATTCAGCCAATAATCCTAACGGAAGAGTTGTTCGAAATAGTGTCTTCTCCCCCTATATACATTCTCGAATCATCAATGGAATGGAAAAAGAATATATAACAGTACCCACCATTAGCGAATCATGGTAATGTAACCACTCGTACCGTGCTTCAGGCCATCAGGCTAGGTTAATCCTGTCGACCACGAGAGCACTAAAACTGTACAGAACCGGATCCAGCATATTCGCCTGAACAAGATATCCGAAGCAGCACTTTTTCCAGAGTGATAATAGTCGAATAGGGCCACGTACCCCAATTTCAGAGCTCAAGGCTAATACTGCCAGATTTTCTTGTTGAGTTTCTGTTACATGAGCAGTGGTCAGATACATGAAGAGTTTTGAGAATATAAATTACTGCTGATATTATTCTTGAAGGCCACAAATTTGAAGTGGCGGCCTGCTTCGGCTTTTAGTACCGCAGGGACTAAAGTCCAAGCACACAATATGACTATAGCAAAAACAACTTGATGAAGATTGTGAAACATTCGCTTAGTAATCTAAATGAAAGAGTCAGACAAATTTTAGGTGTCAGATTTTGACTTACTGGAGCGCCAGGAAAAAATGGATGGTCGGGGGTCGAAATCATATAAGGGTCATAATTAGGGGGAGGACCTTGAGAGTTATCATGGTGGACGACAGTTCCATCTTGGTGTGGCATCATGATACAAAGAACAGCTGGGTGTGATCTCAGGTGAGCTGCTGAGCGCACTCAACATACTTTATATTTTGGATGGGCAATGTGGGGCTCAGGGCCTCGGCCAAGTCACACTCGCCTAACAAACTGAATTGTTAGTGTTGCCAAGCACAAAAAGAGTAAAAGTTAAATGCTCACGAATCGGAACTGAAGTCCATAAATTCATCTGGCAGCGGCAAACTTTGTGAACTCACGTTCCGATCAGAATGTTCATCCCAATTGCATTAGGTGAACACTAAGAGAATGCTGTGATTTAGTTTTATGAGTAATGAGTTTAACGGTGCTGACAACACTGATTTTACTACTAGTACATCAAGCTTTTACTTACTATAGTCCATCACTTACCTGAAATTGTCACCTCGTGGCACACTGTCAGCATTCAGTGTGGTCAATTTGGGGTCCAAAGTTGAGACCTCTGGCGCCGCATGCACTGACAAAGTTTTGATAGATTAGTTTTCTGGATTCTAAATGGAAACATCACTTCCAGGTGTGTGATATCAATGCTCGACTGAGTAATGTCGTGAGGTACTCAGACTATGTGACTGTCTCTGCAGGGTCTGAGGAAGCTCAGAAGAACCGGGTAAGCTCTAACTAACTCTAACAGGGTACCCGTCCGAGAGTGATATGGTGTGAAGTCAGGAAGTGATTCACATGACCCAAGTGTAGCTATTTTGTACTACGTGGTTGTGACGCAGCAGTGACGAACCTTGACTAGTCCATGCCTAATCCTCCCTCTAATGCCTTTCATCCTCCCAACTCTCACAGGCGTCTGTCTGGGTCACACCAGGTGCTAAGATCATCATTAGCCAAGAATTTTGGCCCAGGTAAGGTGACATCCTAGCAACTGCCAACTTTGATGCAATACTTGTGTGCTGCACCAAATCATCACATGATGCAGTCAATGTCATGCCACATTCTGATGCACAGGGGCCAGATAGATACATCATGATGTTTTGATGCAGCTGATCATTTGATTTTCTGATCCGAATCTATCATAATGTGAGTATCTAAACACAACTGTGCCACCAGCTAGGTATATCTTCATTAACCTGCCTTTTTCCCATCTCAGACCATTCCCCATGATGAGTGATGTACCTCCATCCGATGCTTTTCCAGACCTTTGCAGTGCTGATGATCACAGTCATTTTGGGCAGCAACAACAGCTGCCGGATCCCCCACAATCTGTTACTCCTGTGCGCATTCTCCTGTATGGTAGTTGCCCGATTACCGTCACAGGCACCACCATCTACATCCCTCAGTCAATATATCAGCTGTACACAGAGGCAGATTGTGTCCGCTATGTTGAGAAAGCCGACCTCAAGGAGCCCGTCATCTTTAAGACAGCACATCCTGACCAGTGGGGTATAGCACTCAATGACACCCTGAAAGCTAAGATGAAAGACCTTCTCGATAAAGATGACAATATGGTCGAGAACTGCAGGCCCTGAAACGCTTCTTGGCTTCTTACCAAGTGGCACCCCGGCAAGGACCCCGAAAACCAGCCATCAACATCGCGTCCAATGACACTAAGGACGCCCAACGGTGCCCAAAGAACCCCTTCAACCCCCTCAACACCAACACCAACCCACCTTAGACCATGCCCCCCAATGAGGCCATGAACCCAACTCCTCCCCCAGCCTCCACCCCCATGACACATGGTGCCTGCCTCAGAACAACGGCAAAGGCACTATTCGTACCAAGCAAATCAATAGAAGAGCACCTAGCAGGAACCGGCATACGCACAGACATCGTCACACTAGCATCAGCTAGGAAACAACTCAGCACGAACGGCATGACCATATCAACCGCCGGCAGCACTGTCAAGCATCTAATAGGCGCCATATTTGAACTGAGCCTAACACCTGCCCTTGGAGCAACGCATTCCGAATCCTTAAGAGCCATCGCAATCATACTGAATGAAGTAGAACAGACCATCGACACCAACAACATAATAGACAAACTATCTGCGCTACTAGGAGGCCCAGTCGCAACTTTGGACAAAAAAGTAGACACCCTTGCGACTCTAGCAGACACACACGCAGCCGCACTGGAAGAAGCGGCAACAAAGGTAAGCAAACAGTTAGAAGAATCAATTTTAGGACTCGGAGAGGTGGTCGGAAACTCCTTCCAACCAACCAACATCCACAAACCGCAGAACACCCACGGCAACAGCGGGTCTGACGGACCACGCTCATACGCTGCTGCAGCCAAGAAAGGCATCCCTGCCCCACTAACAAAACTTTTATCCCATAGCGAAGCACAATCCCGGCAAATCCTCATCGACAGAAGGTCCTTCCAGGCAACCAACGAACTCAAAGACCTTACAGAAGTCCAACTGGTTGCCAAAGCAGAACTCGCACTGGAGCTCATGTCAAAAGCAGGAACCAAACTCCCCGAGAACATGTCGGTACTCTCCGCAAGAAAACTACCACACGGAGGCATCCTGTATGAACTCAATGCCCCAGGATCAGCCAAATGGATCAGTATCCCAGCGAACAGAAGCAACTTCCTCAACCACTTCGGTACCGACATTGTCATCAAAGACCGTGCATTCCACCTTCTCCTAGAGAACGTCCCCATCTCATTCGACCCCAACTCACAAATCATCCTAGTGGAAGTGGAACAGAAAGGTGGCCTGAGTCAGGATGACATAGTCAAAGCCCGCTACATAAAGCCCATAACAAGGCGTAACCCCAGACAGAGAACCGGTCACATCGCATTGACTCTGAAGTCCAAAAGGTCGGCCAACCAGATCATCCGTTTCGGTATATCGATTGAGGGGAAGAAAGTATATGGCCGCAAACTACTCCCAGAACCCTCAAGATGCCTCAAATGCCAAGCGTTCGACAGCGGCCACATCGCAGCAAACTGCCCTCAAGAACACGACACGTGTGGCACCTGCAGAGCTGACCACCGCACAGCCAGCTGTGCCGTAGACATTCAGGACCTGTATCACTGTGCGAACTGCGAAACTGATGGCCACGCATCATGGAGCCGCGACTGCCCAGTATTCATTGCCAAATGGCAAAGATGCAGATCAAAGAACGAGGAGGCCAGATACAAATACTTCCCTATGGAAGATCCTCTCATGTGGGACACTATCAAAGGTGAGTCCAGCAACCACGACACTGATTTCTCTCCCCCACAGTACCTACATCAAGAACCCAACACTGAATGGAAGACCGTCCACCACCGCCGACACCCAACCCAAAACTACGACCAGCAAGAGCCCGCCCCCCGGCCCCCAACAGGAACACAAATGAGACTCACTGATAGATGGCCGACCCACCAAACAAGAACCCATCCCAACCCTGAGACCGCAACCTCGCCCAGAATTCAACAAGCCTCCCAAAGGTGGTTGTCCCCCCCATCATCCATCACCTCAACCCCAGACTACCACACCGCGATGCTATCGGACAGCAATGAAAACCTCCCAGGATGGAACTAATGATGGACGAAACCCACCATACCAACGCCAGAGACGACTTCAAAATCTGGCAACAGAACCTTAGAAAATCGCTCAATGCCTGGGAACATCTGTTACATAGTCTCAATCCAGACGTGTACGACCTAGCCTGCATCCAAGAACCCTACCTCAACACCGTCAATCTTGCCAACGCCTCAACTCTGGGCCGCTTTTGGGACGTCATATACCCCTCCAACCACCACTCCAATGCCGAACGCTCCCAGACGATAATGCTTGTAAATAAATGGATATCCAAAAACAACTGGCACATAATACTCATCAACTCTCCGAACATCATGGCCATAGAACTCACAGGACAATTCGGCAAAGTACGTATATACAATATCTATAACCCGGGTGACAGCGATCGCACCTTACATTTCCTGGAACGGCACATGCACACTGAACATATCAAGCGGCACCAACACTACAAAAGGATCGCTCAAGGCGAGCGTAACCAGGACGAACATATTATTTGGATGGGTGACTTCAATCGCCACCACCCCATGTGGGAACTTGAACATAACACGCACTTATTTACTGCAGTGAACCTAGACGCTGCAGGTGTACTAATCAACCTCTTATCACTGTACAACTTAACACAGGCACTCCCAGCTGGACTCGCAACCCTAGAAGCATCCAATACAAAAAACCACACCAGACCAGACAATGTCTTCTGCTCGGAGAGCCTCGAACACGCCTTCACACAATGCGATGTAAAGTATCATCTGCGCCCTGTTATTACTGGCCACTTCCCAATCATCAGCACCCTGGACCTCAACCCCAAACACATCAATGTCACCCCACGCCTCAACTACCGCAACATAGACTGGGACGAGTTCAACGAAGCGCTGGCCAACAAGCTCGACACGATCACCAAACCAGCACAATTTGACACTGCCCTCATGGCGCTCACGCAAGCAATCACAGACACCGTCGAAGAAAAAGTCCCCTGAATCAAACCATCACCTTACGCCATACGATGGTGGTCCAAGGAACTAGGACAGGAACGGAAAGCAGTACATAAGCTAGGTAGGACAGCCCGAAGCAAGACCGCCCAACACAAC